GTAAGTCTTGTAGATAGTTCATAGATAAATGAGAGACTGGTGAGCAGCATTAGACTTACCAATGGAGTGGTCTGCACCTGTTGATTTAGTGTAGGCCAGGAAAGCAGCCAGGAGGAAGATTGAAGAGAGAAGTTCAGCTCTGCCAACCACACCTGTCACCTGATAATAAAACGAGACAGCAATCAGTATGTCAGTCCTTTTATACCGATTCAATATTCTTCAAATTCACCAGATTTACTTTGCTTAAGCTGTAGGAAAATGTCAACGATAAAATCTGTCCCTGCAGTAGGAAATTCCAGATACACCTTGAGTTAACCAATATACAGAATAAAGATCTGTTCTGGTCTTTTTGAAATCGTCAGACATATGTCTACAGTTGGTAGCAACTATAGTCTGAATGTTAAAGCCCTTGAATCCAGCTGTTAAAACAGGATGATTGACATCAATCATCTCAGCAGATCACAAGCACATATATATCTCCGTAAAGTAGCCTCTCTGAAAGCATTGTCTGTCATTTGTGTAAATGAGGACTGCCCTCATGTGGAAGAAACAACATTCTAATAATTTACCACTGTAAGACATTGGTATGGGTCACATGATGAACGAACCAACGAGCAAGCGCGAGAGAGAGAGAGAGCTGGTGGCCACAAATACAATCAACTTATGTGAAACACATACAAAATATTTTGGGGTTCATTGGGGTCAGCGGACTGAGGTCAGCTGAGTAGGCACTCCATGTGTGGCCCAGGCCACATGGCACCTCTAAATGTGATCTAAGTGACAATCTGATCATATGTGATCAGATTACTGGTTAATACTAGTTCTCAACAGTGCCATGGAAAGCTAAGGATGAAATCTGAGGAACATCCAGTTCAACATCTGCCAACAGACTTGTCTTGACAGTCTATCAAAACTAATTCAGCACAGTGATATGAAAGCCGACTACACAGCCATTGGTTTGCTGCTTTCAGTTAGTGCGTTCCCATAATGAGATTTTAGAGCATTAAGACACTTTGGTGGAGCACACTAAATAATTTGTACGTGAAGGTACTTGGAGATACTAAAAAACACTGAAGTTTCCATTCAAAAAGACAGATAACCATAAAAAAAACACAGAGGGAGCCATGGTGACACACAGAGACTCTTTGTAAGAACTTATCATGAAGGAACCTTCAGTGCTTGGAGCATAACTCAAAAACAAATGATCCGTTCAGAGAGAGATTCCAGACAGCGATAACATAAAGGACAGTTGCTGGACTAACTCTAAGGGCTCATTTGTGAGGCAAATTGTTTCCATTTAAGAAGTCTCGGGGACTCTGCATAGACTAGAGAACGCCATGAGGAAGATTGGCGCAGTGGTGCATGCTGTGTAACAGTAGCACTCCACCCCAAGAAACAGAATGTTGTCTTTGTTTTTCTGCTCTGGTCAGGTCCTGCCTGGTCATCAGTTCAGCTACACTGAATAGGATGAATTACAAGTCCTAATTGGGGAAGAAGCTATTCAGACAGGCCCTATACAGAAGAGACTGAGATTAACATCAAAAGATCAACAACAACGAAAAGGTTTTTGGTTTCTGTACAAGTTCCAACAACTGCATGATCTTGATAACATCCATGATTTAAATACATTTCAATTTCAAGAAGAATCTCAAAGTTTTTAAAATAAGAAATATTTAAAGAATCAAATGCAGCTCAAAGCAACTTTTATTTTCGGATATGGAGGCCTAATAACCACTGATGTACAAAGAGAAGGGGATTAAAATCATGACTGCTTTCACTGTGGTTGCCTTTCTCTCTTTGTGACTTCATTGCAAGTACATGAACACAGTCCACAATGCGGAAGGGGAAGCTGGTATCAGGTATGCTCACAGCCCCCAAGCAGGCAACAAGGGGCAGGATACAACAACGTTCTATGTGGACAGTTGATTCACCTCTTTGTTCCCATTATATTATTTTTTGACAATCATATAAATACAATAGAATTTAGTTGTTGATAAGGTAGGACATAGTAAGTGCTACTGTGGATAAAACATGCATCCAGCTTTATTAGGACAGAAATACAGCCACCTGTCCAACTGCAATGTATTATAAGTTCCTCCCCTGTTCAGTGAATGCATGTTCTCTCTTTTACACTGTAAGTTTCAGGCTTCATATATATAATATTTGGTTCTAAAATCATAGATGGATGTTCATATTAAGCTCAAGTGGACGGTGAAGGTTAAACAGACAAATAGCTCACTAGTAATTAATAGTGTGGAAAATGGAACTGCAAGGCAAATGTTGGCTGCTTACAGTGTAGATATTATGTCCCAGCCCGAGCATTTCTCCAACAATCCTAATCTTTCCAGTGTGGTGGGGCTTCACTTGATAAAAGGATTTCAGACAGGGGCCTCACTTGAAGCTGTAGATAAATGATCAGTGTTTTCTAGCTAAAACTGAAGAAGTTGAATGAGGACACTTAAATACCCTGGAAATAAAAAAAGCTTTTGACAAGAAAACAGTGTCTTTTAGTGGTGACACCAAGCCGCACTTGTTAGTGTAATGGAAAAGTCCAACAAACATCACAAGCTCGATTCTCATTTCTCACTCCATTTCAAATGGATCGCTCACAGATTACTTTAATGGAATATATCACATTGAGGACCATGGGCGGACTGGGAAAATAACTCTGGGCTGGGAATTTGACTTTCCAGGCCGTCCTTTTCGCATAAAAGTGCCAGACCTGTAATTTTGTAGACTAACCCTGTTTGTTGTAACGGTTACAAGACTAGTAAACAAGTAGGCTGAGCAGTAACTTATTGCTCTCTGCAATCTTTTCTGTCATGTTATTTTTGTCAAATGCTATAAGAATCTCCTTCTCTGTTGCCACAACCAAAATAGTGAATTATATTTCCAAGGACTTTTACTTTGAAAATCTACATCAGATTTCCCTGATATTGTCAGAGTGAGACTCTGAGGTCTCATAAATTCATTCATGCATTTACAAACTGAACAAATGTGACATCCCATTAACAGGATGGTCACTTTTATTTTGAAATTACTAACCAATCGTAACTTAATGCTTAGAGGCTTGTTCAAACCTGTGTTTCGGAGTGGAGGCTGGTTGGATCCCAGTCCTGACTAATGAGACCATTTCAGTGGAAGTTTCAGGAGAAAATAATCTTCTAATTTACAAGCTACGTCAGTAATTTAACACAAAGGTGGGTTTTTTTTCAATAACATGCATTATATTTTGAAAGTACACTTACAGCTTCGGTATGAATGGGATGCACAGCAAACAGCAGAGCCGCTACCAAGCTGAACGTCTTGTCCAAGAACAATCGGCACACTCGCAGGAAAAGCACACACACCACAGCATGTAAAACCACATTGAGCAGATGGTACGAAGCTGCGCTCAGCTCACTGAAAAGGTAGTTCAGCCGGAAGGTGAATACGGTGAGGGGTCGGTACGATTTATGGCTCCTCTCCTGTAGTGGGAGACATATTTTTGCTTACATATGCACACAAGTTGACAAAAAAAGAGAGGCAATAAAAGCTGACAAATGTTTGGATACGCTTTTGAGTGATTCAAGTTAATTTTAAGAGGAAACCTTAAGGTTTCAACGGACAGATATATTGTACATTTAATTGACCTAAATCAAACTGGAAATAAACCCATCCCACTCCAAAGATTACAGAGAAACATCACTTGAGCTTTTACCAACAATGTTTTTTAAACTGTTAACTAAAAGTAGGCCTTCACTAATAAAGTACAGTGGTGTGTGCTGAACCATAATTTACCTCAGCCATGGGCGTCCCCCAGAAATCATTGAGGAAAAGGTTGCGGACAGGCGTTGACGGTCTCAGGTCCTTGTTGTCGAGGATTGCAGAGACATCATCAAACGCAAAGCCGCACGACAGACTGTTCCAGTAACATCCCACCACCAGTCCAGTCAAAAGTAGCATCTCCTTCCATGACACGGCAGCCATGGCTGACCAAAGCCGTCATTGATCACTGTCCGGGAAAAATAAGAGTAAGAAAAGACATGTGATGAATCAAAACTATCTGACATCAAGATGTGTTAAACAGTCACCTTGTCATGATGATGAATTTGGACTTATACTTTCAAAACAGGTCAATCCGACTAACACTGCAGCTCTTCAAATGACTTTTGCAGCATCTTTAAACCTTTTCCCAAATCCCCCATTGCTTCTCTGACCTCGCTTCCTCCACCTATGTTATGATGACTTAAAATCTCTGATGCCACAGTCAACCCCTCTCTTAGAGCGAATTTGCTATTCTGACATACTCTTTGGATTGCAGATTATTCCAGTCGGGAAATGTAGATATAGACGATTGCAGGAACACTAAGCAAAGGGTAAAACAAATGTCGGGATACATGCTGAAGAGTCAAGTAGTCCAGCAGCCGGTCCAGCACAGTCACAGCAAAGGGACCAAACCATTGCTAACGAATAGTGAAGGGTCTGAATAGTTTCTCACTGCAGGCGTTGGTTGAACGAATGACATCGACATCGCTACCAGTCGATCACAGAATCATTACGAGGAGGCTCCAGAAGCATATTCTGTTTTCTCAAGTGACTGCTGCAACACAGCGCGAGCTAACAGTAAAGCTAATTTAGCAGCTAACGCTAACTAGCTTGGTCTCAGCCGAATGATTAAGATGGGTGTATTTTTTTTCAAGTCATTCTTGAATCCCCCACTCACCGTGTCTTAAGCAGAACAGGCAGGGGTGATTTCACAAACACTTGGAATGGTTTCACACACACGAGAACACAATTCATTTAGCGGAATTCAACTTTGTGCAGGCTAGCGCAGACGCTGCATCACGTCCACTTCCGGGGCAGAGGTGACCGCGCATGGTAAATGTTAGCGTCAAAAGTCTGGGTGCTGTTTTCAAAATCCGAGCGGGTGTACGACCAATACCAAGTTTAACGTGGGCCATCGCCATTAATGTCACATCCACTGTGCCTTTACGGTGAACATCCCCCGTGAGGGTGCACTCTTCGCTTTTTACGAGCTCTGTTTTCCTTAGCTTTAGCTTCTTCGGCTAACTGTTGTCAGCTGTAACCTAGCAGCAGCCGGAGCATCACTCCGTGGAAGTGTCGGGATGGATGTTCACAGTCGAAGTGTTTTTCTATCTGTAGCCTAAGTCCTCCGTCCGTTGTGTTTACCTTATCTCACAGAGCTAGCATACATCATACTGGGCGATTGGCTGTAACGTCTCAATGTTATTGAGGTTGTTAATGGGAACGAGTGGAGTTGCTGTATCGCTGAATCTCTCGTGACGTGATCCGGAATAATGTGTTTTACATTGAGCGTCGTCACACATGTATGTTGAGTCTCATCTCCCAGACACAGACGGTCTATGTTCCCTCACTGCACTGGCCTAGCTAACCAGCTAACAGTGACATCTTAGTTAGCACCGAGGTGTCTGCTCAGTTGTTGGTTAAGTCGCTACAAACACGTTATTACCAAGATGTCAGCTGCTCTTGAGTGGGACAAGGTGACGGGGATTGACCCGGCGACCCTCCTCGACTGTGGTAAAGACCAAGTGGACGAGGTCTTCGACATGTTCGTTATGGTAACAGTCCACACTCCACACAAGTTGTCATTTCACATCACATTTGTGCTCGGTCTAACCCTAACCACACAGGCTTCTTAAACGTGCCATGCTTGCTCAAATAAAGATTACGACCCTGCCGAGCCTATTACTGTTCAGGAGGTTATAACTCATTCCTCCTTGCAAGATAAAGCCATCAGATAGTTTTGCTTTGACCTGTCCCCTCCATCTGTGCTCACTGTGGATGTGTGCCTTACGTTTGCATAAAGCCACGCTTGAAGTTAATGCAGATGAAAGAAGTGAGTGCTGTCTGTCATCCTAACTTCGATGATTCCATGAAACACTGTCATGCATCATGATTTTTGTTTCGGATCCATCCTGGTCCCTGTTTTATCAAAGCTCTTCCTCTACATTGAACTATTTTTCCACATTGAGAGGTTGAAGGCGAATCCCATTTTCTTCTGTACCACCATTGTAATGATGTGTTAAGACTAGCTATATACGTGATAGGCCTGTTCAAACTCCAGAAATGATCTGGTGCACTGATGATGAATGTAATGGTTGTTTCATTTAAATACTTTGCTACTGGTTTCTTTTTTTCTATATTTCCCCCCTTAATAACGGTGTCTGTTTTAGGCTGGGCACATAATGAGCATCACACAATAATACAAAATCAAAAAAATTAAACACTTTTTTAACTTTTTTTTCCCAGACAGAAGACTGGCAGCTGAAGAATAAAACTCCTGAGAACATTCTTCATCTCCTTCAAACGTTTCAGGCCATACTCAAGGTGTTTAATCTTGTTATTGCTATATACTGATCTATACCACCTATATCAACAACCATCCTTGCATTCACAATGTATCTCAAGAAGCAATTTCTTCCTTTCTCTCACTCTGCCTGTTAGATGAAGAATGGGGAACTTGCCGTTTCTGTCAAATTCCTTGAAGACGCCGGGGTAGACCATGCTAAAACTGGTCAGTGCACAAAGAAAGTCAAAATGTTTCATATGTTTAATTTTGCTAAGAAACATTACCATGTACATTATTGACTGTGACTTCTGTACTATAGTAAATGAACTCCATGCCAAGGTGTTGAGACTGGAAAAAGAACGCAAGGTAACACACCACACGTCTTTCTGCCTGCCAGTTTTGTTTCTCTGTAAACTATATGTTTGCATACTGCATGCTACACGGTATGCTATTCCTTGAGCCACTGAGGGTGATCATTGGTATAAATTTGAAAAGAAAACACATTCATTTGTAATCACCCTTCATGCTGCTTTACTTCCGGCAACAGTGCCAAATCTTTGAGTCAGTCATATTGTGTAACCCAGGCCTCAATGGGATTGGTTGTGGTGACTGGAAGACAGCACATAAGAAGATTATAGCTAATTCCTTGTGTGCTCACAGCCATTACTTCTGTTTCTGCCTGGTAATTAAGGTTTGTGTATCGTCAGAATTTGCCTTTCCATGATTTGTTTTGCAAAGAAAAAAGTTAATCCTTGTTAAAGACGTTGCAAATGACAGTGTTAACATGTGGTATAATTGTAGACGGATTGAGGCAAGACTAAACGGTTTCTTGGTGGGGGTTGTCTGGCTGTTTGTAATGTCTTGTTTCCCGTCCACGCGGCTCAGCACACCGGCACCGGGCCAGACACCCGCTTTCTGAGAGATGAGATTCGGCAGCTTGAGACCCAGCTTGCACAAAAGGAGAACGACTTGATCCATTTGAATAAAGAAATGGTCAAAGAGAAGAAAACCAGCGAGGAGGTGTGAGCATGTTACCCACAATTCCCCTCTGTAGTGTTAGACAATGGATTTGTCTTTGGGTGACCTACAACTGAGTATTAGATCGTTTATTTTTTGTTGCTCTGTAAAGAGATAGTGCCATTGGGTTATATCCATACGCACATAATTATTACTTATATATTTTAAGAAACTATATGATAAGATATTGATTTTGATAAAATTAGAGGCTCATGTATTTATAACATTGTAGTTATTTGACTTATAAGTGCACTCATTTTACAAGACATTATTCATTATTGTCAGTTTCCAATTATTGATGGATTTATGAATACTCCCAGTGCAAATGTGTGCAACAGCTGTTAAATATGCATCTAATGTGGTGACATGGTGTTTTTTTTTTTTGTTCCAGTTGCTCGTGCGAGCAGAGGAGGCTGAGGATGAGGTCAGGAAGCTGAAAAGAGAGGTATATGGCAGCTGGCACTGCATCATACACATCCTAAAGCTTTCTGAAACAATCTCTCCATTCATCATCTCAGCCTCACTCATTAAATAGTGTGACCTATCTATTCTTTACTTACCATCGTTTGTTTACATGAATGCCTTCTTAAAATCCATCACCTTTTCTCATCTCTTTCTATTTCATTGGTGTAGATAAAAAGGCTTAAGAAGAAGGTAAGAAATAAAGGTGGTGTTGTTAACCAAAACTTGGTTTCAGTTATTCACAAGCCACAGAATGTTATGGGACTCTGTAAAATGTCAGAGAGAGTGTAAGGTGTCCAGAGGAGACTGATGAGATAAGATTACATTCAAAGCATAGAGGTAGGTGTGAACTAGGGATGTCGGGATTAACCGGTTTTACAATAACCACAGTTTGATAACGTCATGATTTCATAACTGTAAGAATTGTAAAAACTACGATATCTAACTATGGTGTCCTGCCTCTCGCGAGTCCCGTTTTGCCTGAGCGAGCCACTGATTTAACGGCCTATACCAGAACAACTTCCGTCGCTGACCCTTCAAAATAAAACTCCCACACAAATACACTGCTTATGACAGGAAAAACTATTTTAGTGACCAACCTTCCAGTATAAAGCAATTAAATAAATTAGCTTACATAAATTGCTTTAAATAGATAAACGGTTACACTATGAAAACTAACTGGAGAAAGTTGATGATAATAATACATATTTTTGTTCATAAGCTATATTATTAGCCATCTTTTGCTTGCTGTGAGTCTTTTTCCTTCTATAGTGTCAATAATATGTTGTAGAATTTCGTGAAACCGTGATATTTCCTCTGACAATAATCGTGGCACCAAAATTTCATATCGTGACATCCCTAGTATGAACATAAGAAAAGCAGCAAATAGGTCTGTGTTACATTTATATGCTGTAGACTCGTTTTTAATTCTATACCAGTGTGCATATATTAGTAACATGAATGTAGTTGTAGTTGTGTGTAGTTCCTCATGCCCAAGTTTACAGTGACAGTAGATTTCATAGTTGGTGAGTCCATTTTAAATGTAAAGTAAAATTAGATTTGAAGGTTTGGTTATTATAAAATACAAATATTGTACAAGTGAGACATTTCACTGTTCTCATCCAAAGGTCACTGGCCTGATTTAGCTATCAGTAATTACTATCTGCCGTCCTTGGGCAGGTACACACTACTGTACTGTATAGATTGAATATAATGAGAGCTGAAACAAATTATTATTCCTATCATATTTCAGTCTGGCCATTGTTTCCATGATTGATAGACTTATGGCTTGTGACAAGTTGCCAGAGGCTAAGATGGCATCTTAAAAAATAGTTTGTTTTGTCAAATGAATGGTCAAAAACTCCAAGATATTTCAAATTTTGCATTTCGTTGCATTTTTCTCTTAAAAAACTCACTAATCTCTATGTCATAGTACGTTTAGATTACTTTACGACCACGGGACATTGGATCCAGTTTCTTTTCTGAGAGTAATCAAGTCTTTACTTTACCACCACACAGAACGATCAGCTCCACCAGGATGTGGACTTCTATCGTGGGGAGCTGGAGCAGAAAGAGCCTGTCCCTTCCAGAGATGAGAGTGCTGAGACTCAGAGAAAGCTCACCTCTGCCAATCGCCAGCTCTACCAGTGCTTAGAAGACCTTCAGGTACATGGATATCTACTTTTCTACTAAACCAACTGGTGGACGAGTCAGGTCTTGTAATATTGCTATGCTTGAGTCTTTGTGGAATCTAGAATCAGTGCAGTTCCAAAAACCTGCAAGATCAGTCATTTTTCAGTCAATAATTGAAATAGTTTTTGTCTCTTTATATTTATCTGTTGTCATGATGTGCTCTTTGTGCGACTGATTTACAGCATGCAAAGGTATGCATCTACAAATCAAGTTATTTTCTTTGTGTCCATTAGCGAGTAGAGGATGAAAACTTGTATCTGAAGACACAGAACGAGCAGATGCAGAAAAGCCTGGAAGAGTCGGTGAGGGAGATGGAGACGATGACAGACGAGTACAACAAGATGAAGATTGTTGTGCAGCAGACTGACTCCACCGTTGACCAGCTCAGGAAAGAGAGGGATCATGCAAAGCTTCAAGTAAAGACCCTTTTCAATGATTACTTTTTTTGTTTTCTGTATTAGGTGACCACCCTAAATCTTTGTGTGTGTGTGAGTTGGTCATAACAAAATGTTGTTTTGACATTGTATATGGAATATTGAATGCCATCTTTTTGTTTGTTTCATGTACAGGTCAGGGAGTTAACAGATAAGATCCATGCCATGACTCAAGAGGATGACCCAATTATGGCTGCAGTTAATGCCAAAGTGGAAGAGTGGAAGGTAGGTGTCATTAAGAAATGTCTATAGCACCCAATAAGGCACGTCTTTTATGTTTTTCTCATTCAATTTTACTTTTGCTTATGTAGCACCAGATCCCAACATACATTATCTCAATGCACTGTCTTAAACTATTTTAGAGAAACACAATAGTTACCACAAAAACCTTGGCAGTGGAGAGAAAAAAATATCTTTAAGCCAGCTGTGCATAAAACACACATGTAATAACAGAGGAGCTAAGTAAATTTATAAGGCAGGATGGCAGGAACTCATTAGAGAACCCAGATATCTTTTCAATCATCATTTTATGACTTTCAACATGAAATCAGGGTCTTAATGTACTTCCTGTCTGGGAATGGATTTTCTGAAGCTTAACAATTTGCCTGGGTGATATTTTTTCCCTAGTAAGTCCCCTAAGGCCAACACATTGTGTATACAGATTCAGAGTAAGCAAAACACTGGTTGCACTTGTGTCAATGCTGTCACAGTTTAAACCAGAAAGATACTACTTTGGATACTAAGAAAGTGGAGAAGACACTTTGTTCCTTTCCATCTCTGCATGTTTCTGTTGCAATATCAGTTAAAAAGTCACCTTCACACATATCTCTTTTTACAAAAGTGAACAGAGTGCTATTGCTGGTACAACCTGACTCCTTAAAGTGTGCACGTCTTTACGCATTTTTACTGTCACAAGTGAGTTTGGCTATTTTGTTGACCTTCAATTCTGCTGACACTATCCCTTTCTCACACAGAGGGTGCTTTCTGGGAAGGATGATGAAATTCTCATGTACCAGCAGATGATCCGAGATCTCAGGGAAAAGCTGCGTTCAGCCCAACTGGACTTGGACAAAAGCAACATTATAGCCCTGCAGCAGGTCTGTTTGTATCTCTCTCTCTACCTCTCTCTCTACCTCTCTCCCCTTTCTTTCTGCCTACATAAGTAAATACATATATATATCTGTATATATATGTGTATATGTATATTTATTTTTTTAATAAAGATAGATAGATAAAGATGAAGCCGTGTGTATAGAGTGTATATACATTGATTGTACATTTGATACCTGATAACCTTGAAGTGCTTGAACCAGCTGTAGTTGGACATTGACATAGAACATACCAACCATGGATCTGGATAAAAAAAATGAATTATTTGACTTAATTCTTGGCATCATCACAGGAAGTGGTTTTAATGTCACAGTTGAACATAAAAAGAAAAGCTGCATGACATGAGAGTGCTTAATAATTTAAATTATTTTCGGTAAGGCAGTATCATATGTGCCATCTTGGGAAATACTGAATTTCAAAAAGCTTTAACTACAACGGCGTGCTCCAGATAAAATTCTTCTAAACCATACATATGGAAATATGTATGGTCCATATATCCTAATCACAATGTGGAAAGTCACTGTGCAAATGTCTTTATGGGAAACCCTTTGGAAAAAGAAAATACTGACTTTGTGGTAATTGTAATTTCATGTTCTTCCAGCTCTCTGTCATTTTTTCCTACTCTCTGATTTCTCTTTGTGCCTTGTTATATTTTATGAACCTGTCCTTCCTTCTGCTGCCCTGGGCCAGGTCATATATGAACTCTGTGCTGTAAGTTTCATCTGTCATGTGCCTCTTATCTCAAGCCTCCCCCTTTTTTCCATTTCATAAACGTCCTTAATGATGAAAGTGCCAATAATTCAGTGTGCCACAGCCATGCTTAGTCTCACATATAAAGTCTCATGATTTTAAAATGTTGCCCTAAAGGCTGTTCAAGAGCGAGATAACCAAATCAAGATGCTGAGTGAGCAGGTGGAGCAGTACACAGGGGACATGGAGAAGCACACCCTCCTCATTGAAGAGCTGAAGACGTCCACAAAGAGAGACAGAGGTGAGTGGAGTCCTGCTTAATATTCCAGCCCAAAAAACCAAAAACAACTGTAGTGAGGTCAGTCGGTGTTCTGTCTGAAATGATGATAACACTCATTATTTGTCTTCTGATTGTCTTTTCTCAATATTTTCGTAGAGAGAATTAAACGTCTAAGAATTTAACTCCTGTTGATTTAATTTTCTGCCCCTGATTAAATTAATGAAACTAAAACAACTCCAGTAGTTTGTAAGTATGTCGCACGGAGAAAACTTTGAACTAGACAGATAAATGGTTTGTATGTATGTAGTGCTTGTTTAGTATTCATGATCATTCATTTTTTTTACCCATTCACACATACGTTCTTATAGTGCATTTATGTACAGCACATTCTCTATCAAACATCATTTATACACTGCCAGCACAAAGGAGCAATTTGGGGCCTAGTGTCTTGCCCACGCGGAATAGGAGGAGACTGGGTTCGAACCGCTGACATCCTAGTTAGTGAAAGACCTAGGGTTGAGTACTTATTGTGGTTCTGTCCTCTGCAGAAATTTGTGTTTTTCTATTAACAAGCTGAAATGACTGATGTGGAAGGGATAACTCCTAGTGACATGTGACACGGCCAACTTTGCATTTTGCCAGACCTCCACTGAGCATTTTAGCATATTTCAGTTCATGGTTTTGGTTTTACAGCCCCACAACTTCACTGTCTGGTTCAGTGTCACTGCTCATTGGCATAGTTTTCACTTGAAGCAGGCAGCTGTTTACAGCACTACTTGCCTGAGTCTGTAACGTTGCCTGTGCTTGTTATGAGGTAAATCAGAGGAATTGGAAAATACTGTGCCATCACCAGATGGTCACTGTTGTCCGCGGTTAAAGGAATCATTTATTTTTATTTTTCCAGGCTTACCCTCAACCACACAGCAGAGGAAGTTGGAAGAGCTAAAGTCTAAGCTTGAAGCAGCAGACACCAGAGCAGTGGAAGCAGAGCTGGCCGTAAAGCTGGCAGAAGATCATGCTGAGGAAAAAGACAAAGCACTCATTGAGGCCACAAACCGCTTGAGCCAGTATGAGTCTGTAAGTCTATTGATACCCTACCCTTCCCCTTAGCTTACATCAAAGATTGTTTTAATCCAAATCAAATTACTTAATACTTAACTTCCCAGAGGCAAAGTTTATGGGTTTTTTCCCCTTGTCCATACACACTTTTAACATTGAAATCACTATGTGACCATGGTGTGATCAACATGCTTTTTGGGTCTACAAGCTAAGTGTTTGTCTTTCACCATGTCCAAAAAAGTGTATGAGTCATTAAACAAGGAAATAAAGGAAGTGAGGCCAAGCATGCTTTTTGAAGGAAGAGTAACCACAGCGCCATATCTGTATTACAGGGCACTTATGGCCTGGAGTCTGCCATTGCGGAGATCAAAGAGTGTAAGAATCAAATTAGAGTGAGAGATTGTGATGCAGAGGCCATGACCAAAGAGATCAACCAGCTTGAAATGAGAATCAATGACCTCATTGATGAAAATGAGGACCTCAGAGAAAGACTCGGTGAGATTTTTGTTTCTTTTTATTTCTGTTCCTAACATTCTATCTATTTATACAACACTGATTGATCTAGGTCAGTGAAATAAATAGTTAATTAGTTTATTTGTGTCTTTTTCATAACTCTAAAGGTCTGGGACCAATGCAGGAAGTGGATCTGACAGAATTCAGGCGAGCCAAAGATATCAGGCAACGTCAGTACAAAGTGGAAAACCAAGTCCTAACCAAAGAGGTAAAGTGGAATTACAGTGTTTAGAACCAGTTTGTGAAACCACATTTTTTTTCTTAGATCCTCTCATCACTGCTTAATGTTTTTGTTTTTTTTACCTCTAGATTGAACGACTTGAAGAGGAAAGACTGGAACTAAAGAAACAAATTAGATGCATGGTGAAGGAAGGAGGTGATGCACAAATCATGGAACAAAATAACAAAAACATTGTTTTGCCTTAATTTTAGCCTAAAACATTTACTTAAAGGGAGATGAAGATTTTTAATATCAATAGTTTTGTTTGAGAGTATTTTGAGATATCACTTAATCAATTTTGTCATCATTGCAAAATTAGCATTTTTCAACATTCTTTGATTTCTCCAAGAATAATTCCTACACCTAGATGAAAAGAATCTGGCAATTTTATACAGATATAAATAAAATATAGATCTAGTGAATTTAAATCTGGTTTCATATGGGGAACCTTGGGTCTTCCCTCCGGTATGTGCTTGCTGAGTGCCCTTCTAGGTGTTTTAGAAGGGTTTAAAAGACATAATATTAGTTCATATTAATATTTTCCTGCTTCTAATATGTTAGTCACAATGCCTTGTTTCTGCAGGGATCACACTGTCAAAGTCACTTCTGGAGGAAGACATCAGGCCCAGCAGAACTGCACCGCAAAGCAGCTCCCACACAGATGAAGAGATCAGACGGAAGGTAAGCTCCTGACCCCACACACACACACACACACCCACATGCATAGTCGTGGCTCCATGACTTGAAAGAACATTACACTGAGAATTCATTTACCCTTTTACTTTTATTTATATAGTGGAAACCTGATATAGTGATCATGGATATACTGAACAACCGTTTATATGTAAATAAAACAGAACTTTTTTAATGATTTCACTTGTTTTTGCAGAATGAGTACCTAGAAAAAGAACTGAGCAAAAAGGAGCGAGAGCTGGGACTCAACAAGTCTCAGTTTCAAGTCAAATGTAAGTACAGGCCTGCTATGCATCTAAAGTTCAAAAGGTCATTTTAAAAGTTAAGTCAGTGCAATGAGCCATTTGACTGTGTCTGTGTTATAACATTACCCTGGCTGATATTGTTCCTTCATGTATGAACTTATAGTGGAAGAACTGTCAAAAGTGAAACAAGATCTGGAGGCTGTGCTGAAAGACGTCCTCCAAGCCATGAGGATTAATCAAGAGGAAGCTCCATCAGATGGTGCCATCGATATTGCCAATCTGAAAAGGTTGGCTAATGTAAGTATGTCACATGCAACACATCTGACCCAAAGTTCATAAATCCAAAGTGCCTCCAGTTGTTATCAGGCAGTTGTGTTGAATTGAGGAGGATCAATGCCATCCTGGTTGTTGAACAGTGGACCATCTTTTTAGCTTTGTGGGAGTGCTGAGGAGGTCATGGGAGTTTGACCATCCAGTCTACATATTTTGTGGACTTGGAGAAGTCTGTGGGGGTTACTGCAGGGGTATAGGGTAAATGGGTCGCTTCCACGAGCCATGCAGTCCTTGTATAACCAAAGAGAGAGCTGGGACTTCAGCTTCTTAGCACAAAGTCAGTGGGTGACTATTATCTGATTTTCACTTTGACTTAAGCATTTAAAGGTTAAAGTTTCAAGTGTGTAGAATTTAGTGACATCTAGTGGTGAAGTTGCATGTTGCAGCTGAACACCCCTCAACTCACCCTCCCCTTCCAAACATGAGAGAGAACCTGTGGTAGCCTTCATTTTTCATAAAAAATCAAAAGGTGTTTAGTTTGTCCAGTTTGGAATACTGTAAAAAAAGGCGGCTTCCATAGAGAGGACCAGCTTCTTATGTAAATACAACTATTAAAATATAAAGGGCCCATTCTAGGGAAAGAAAACAACAATTGGTACAATTTAGATGATTACACACTAGTGAAAATATCACATTGCATGGTAATATTTCTTTTTTATTAAATAACAATGTATATATATACCATTATTTATTCAGCTTGTTCAGCGTCAGTAGGTATGTTTTCACTTCACAACAGCATTTTGGTTGTTCGGTATGTGTTTATATATTCAACCGTGACACTAAACACATGCTACATTCTGTCTTCTACAGGTTCTTCTACCTGCTCATAATGACTTTCACAGTAGCACAAGTAGTGTATATACTCAGTTATGTGTTTTCCACTGTGTCAATTTGCACCTTGTACAGTGCTTTTACAGTTAGATTTGCTGCGTTGAAAACAATGGGCATACTCCCCTCCCAGGCATTTCAATGCTTCTTTGCCAGCTAATGAGGCAGAGTGCTGGTCACACAGCAACTAAACAACACATTTGGTAAGGCAGAAAAAAACTGAGAGCTGTCTGACTTTTGGTGGATCTTGGTGCACTGTTGTCCAACATGAGATAATCCAATAGTGAGTAAGATTTGAGAAAGTGCAAGAGATTTTTTTGACTTTTATTTCACTCTCCTGGGCACAGCACCAGAGGAAGCAGCAAGAAATACCCACTTACAATCACAACAAGTGATATTAATGTGATATTTGGTGTCAGTGATTTTGAGCAAAATGTGTTTGTCTTATGTACAAATCTAAGCAGTAAGCGATATTAAGGAGCTGTGACGCAAACACTTTCTATAAACTGGGCCTATTTATCATCCAAATATTTATGTTTCAATTGAGATGCAACTGTCATCTTCTTCCACAGGCAATAGATGTCAACATGAGTGGGCAGTCTGAATCAGCCCTGCACCTCAAGCCCCAAATACATCAGCTCTTAGGGAGAAATGAAGAACTGAGGCAGGAACTGAAATTGGCCCGGCAGGAGGCAACAAGCAGCTTTGGTCAGCTTGCCAGTTCAAAAGAAAAGGTACATTCAGACCAAGGCCACACACAGACATTTTAGGGGGAGGGGGGCAGGTGCTCAATTGGGAAAAAAAAAATGGATCCCTTATTGTTATTTATTTGAATGAAGTTATACACAGTAGCAAATTTTTTGTTTAAACATTTATTTATTCAAGCACCCATATAGTCAGAGTATTACAAAATTATTAATTCACACAAAGAATATGCTCTTGCATTCTCTGTTTCTACATGTGTATTAAGTGTCGATTTATTAGCCCATGTATAATACGCACAGGGCCTGGATATGCATTGCCCCTCTGATGCTTTTCATTTCATAACAGTCACAAACAAAGTTGAGGCTTTCAAATACTATCGTTAGTTGACACCAAACATAGCCTTGATGCTGCTCTGTAGGGTGCTTGATTCACATGCGTGAATTGTGGCAGTGGCTTAAGTTTCTCTTGCCACATACATAAATATAATTTGACAGGTTTTTCAAAGTCAAGCCGCCATTGAATGCTATTTATTCAAGGCCAACTTCAAATGCTTTCAGCTGTGTGTCGCAACTCTCTTTTCCAAATCCAAAGCATTGATATTTCATATGAAAGTAGTTAACCGAGCACAATTTTCCAATTTACATAATGAAGATTGATAGAGACGGTGTACAGTCTCTGAGAGCAATTAGCAGAGCTGGAACATTTCTTTTGAGAGTCAGTGTTCTCTGTGTTTTACATGTGTTGCTTCTGTTTCATATAACAGTAGAAATGGGGTAAACAAACTTTTCATCTTGCATTCAGTTTCAGTGCAACGCAACTGAGGAGCATTTATTGATCCAGAGCACAGTCGGCAAAATATTTGTTGGATCTCTTTTCTTAGAATCTGAAAACCTTGTCATGTATCAAAGGCTTTCCTTTAGGCAGCTATAAAGTTCATCTTGAAATTCTTATTCTGTTATACTACTTTGCGTCTTTTGTGTGTGTTTTCTCTGCCCCCCCATCTCCTTGCTTGCTCTTGGTTATCACATTTTACATCATTTCTCTGTTTATTAGTTTGCTTGGCTCCAGTGGTTTATGTTTCACATAAATTTATTGAATGGCACTTGCATTTTTATGACAACCACCTGATGCCTACAACACTCTTTGTCTTTGTCTGTTAAGGATGACAATGACTCATGCTTAGCAGTAATGCTGTTTTATTGTTTGAACTTATTCTGAAACGTATTATGTAATAATGCTTTTCTGCACAAATTACAGAAATTGGTACCATTGGAATAATAATCTGTGCTTCTCAGGTGAAACAACTAGAAGGTGAATTGGAGCTGCTTAGGAAGTCAGGATGCAGTGGAGTAGTTCTCCGACCTCTGACCCTCCCTGAGGGCCTGGGGCCCAGTAGCACTGAGGTCATCAGTTCCTTAAATGAGTATGTTGTTCGACTTCTTCAGGTCAGTGTCGCCATCTTCTGAAGACCTGCACGAAAATACCTAAAATATAAATCAACTATATCTCTTAAATTAAATAACAATATTTCAATGAATCAGGAGCTCAAAAACAAGGAGGAACAAAGCAAGAAACTTGGAGCAACATTGGAGGAATACAAAGAGAAGTTTGCTGTTATCAGCCACCAACAGGGACTCCTCTATAAAGAATACCTGAGGTGGGTTAACAAGAAAGTTTCTCAGAAAGTTAATGAGGTTTGTGGCCTAGACATTTAAAATGGTCTTTTTATTAGAGGCCGGGCGGCTGTGCTGCCTTTTTATCAATGTTTTTATTGTGTGTTTTTTTTCTCTCAGTGAAAAGGCTGAGTGGCAGAAGGAGAAACAGACATTTGAAGATGTGAAAGACAAACTAGAGGAACAGAAACAGGTGGAGGCTGTTAAAATCCAAGAGTTCAACGTAAGTCAGTACTTAAAGGCTGCAAGATGCACTGCATGTATGTGGCTCTTACACATGAAGCGCTCTACAGTGTGTCATACACACACACACACACACACACACACACACAGATGAAAACACTTGAAAAACTGCAAAATGGAACTGAATGTATTACAGATAAATTTCTCCCAATCTATTATGTCCATGTTGTTGTGTGTCCGTTTTTCTTCTAACTTGCTGAAGATGAAAAACTTAAAAGCAGAACAAACCAGTGACTTTGTCTTCCAGTTAAAAGTATGACAAAATATGAGAATCTAGGATGGCACAGATTAGCTTACAAGAAGAATGTAATGCCTTTTTGACCTTTGGTGTCTACACATGCCCTTTTAAAGCCTTTGTAAAAGCAGTGACAGATATACTGCTGTGCCTCACTTTGCTCATCTTACCTCGTGTTAAGTCCCCCCTGGGAATTTCATGGTGGATCAAACTGTTTTATTGGAGCATGTATCTATTTCACCCATCAGGAGCTGTTAGACACGCTTCAAAAGGATCCAGAGGAAGTCCGGAGACAGTTGAGCGAAGCGTTGCGAAAGTTGACATTGCTGAAGGTGAATGAGAAGAAACTGACTCGGCGCTACACCACCCTGCTGGAGCAGGAACAGCACATCCGTAAGGAGAACAACAAGCTACGGGACGACAGCATCCACATGCAGGTTTCTGTCACTCAGAGGATAGGCTACCTGCAGAGATACAAGGTACGAAGAATCAAGAAAAAACAGGTGCAAAAGATGCATAAAAAGCCAGTGAAAAAACCTGCATTTATCACAGTCCTAGCCTTTACCTTATTTTCATACTGGATATTAAAATGTGAAAGACTTCTGTTATATAGAAATGGGGTTATTAACTACTAATGGTCACGATAAACTTTTAGTCACCACCTTAGTTTTAGAGATTTGGAAAATTTAGACTCTAATTTAGGGTCAGGTTAAGCAGAGAGCATTTCGGTTAGAGCCTGATCGATAAATCGATTAACAGATAACATCAGCTGATATGAACCTTCCACAGACATATTTGTATTTATGTTTCCCAATATGAAACCTTTTATCTTACAGAATACACCATGCANATATACTATACAATTATATAAAAGCTCATAATTATACTGAATAACTCAGAAATGAAAATAAATGAGGCTGGCACACTTCAGATGTCTTGGCTTAAAATTGAGGTGAGAAAATAGAGGGAGACCCTGAAACACAATAGTCAGAAGACATGATGTGAGCTTATCAGGCCAAAACTCATCACATACAATCCATCAGTGTTACACAGAACCCTCAGGCTCTGCTAACAAGGACACGAGCAAGACTGTACATACTGTACTGCGTTTGTGAAGTTGCATGTTTTAAAACGCAATGCAGTCATAGCCGATTGGTTGTCTCTGCGTGTCATTGGTGTAACGGGCATTTAATGGGACGAGTAGCAGAGAATAGAGCAGAGAGCAGGATGCTCCTGTGTCGCCACACTCACCTTCTCCTCCAAAATAGGCTCACAATTGGAGTAATTGCTCTTCAACGCCCACGTCCCATTATCCATGCACTCCCTGTAAGCACTCCCTGCAAGAAAGGAGCGATAAAACTGTAATCACAGCATCATTGTAAACATTGTTAGCATTGAACAATACTTGTTGACTTGTATTGATGGACACTTCAACAGATTTGTTTGTCTGCACAAATCATCTGCATCTGTATTCGACATCAGACATCAGGCGGCCTGCCCTCAGCCGCCTCAGTGCTGGTGCAAAACCTGTTATTTGTTGTGGCAAGGTTGGAGAAGTGTTTGCCAAGAGGGGGATGCTAAAACATCCTTTGCTCAGAGCTCAGTTCAAAGGTGAACACCACTATCTGTCTGACTCTTACACAGAATACCACTTTAGCAATACAACATTTTATTTGATGAGGGGGGAAGCAAATCCTCTTACTCTGTCGGTTTATTTGCATATCTTTGAGAAGCAGCGCTTTCCATAATCAACTTCCAAACGTTTCATTTTGCCGTTCCTCATGGTGCATTGACTGGGCGCTTTATCTCAGCTACACTGAGAAAACGGAAAAAGATTTGGGGCAGAAACAGAGCGGCATTAAATCTATTTTCTATAAAGACCTGCCACTCAAACTAATAATTATAACCACTCTGCTTCAAAGATACACATCATGTGTTCAAGTGGTTTTATTATTGTGCAGGAAAACTCTCACTGATTAGGCTCCTGTCAGATTTATAGAGTTTTTAAAAACCCACATTAAAAATAACAAATTCAATTCATCTTTTAAATTGTATTTTACCAAACAATATTTTCCACAGGTCGAGGTCCCCTCATAAAAAAAACATTTACAATAGTTCTTGATTTGTATTTTGGATCTGCACCACATTGAACACGATCATTAATATCCTTATACCTCAGTATTAGAGGCTGACCATGTTAATGTTTGACATTCACCGACATGAAAACACTTAGTTTACAGAAAACATGCACATTTATGTTTACATTCAAAAGGTTTTTCAAAAGTTCTATAGACTAGATTTGGTTGCATTTGCATTTATTGATATTGATAACAATTTATGGTTAAACTGTAAAATGTCAAGCCTCAATTACATTTCTATGAAAGTGTTTGAGTAAGACATTTTAGGAATATTTTTTTAAAATATATTTGCTGATATATTGGAATTTAACATTTTTCACTCCCTAATACTGACATCGGCATCTGCCCCCAATATCCATATTAGTCGGGCTGCTGAAAATCTTGTCCACAATGTGAAAGTAACTCTCTTTCACAAGCAGAGGTTGCTTTTGGCATCAGCCATTATTAACAGCATACACTGCTCCTTGTTTTGTCCAAAGGAAATGGCTGCATATCAGATAGCAGCACTGCAGAAGGCCTTGGATGATAGCGTGCCCTCATCAGACCTGGAGAAGGCTAACAAACAGTACACAGAGCTCACAGTCAAGTACAGAGACATGCTGCAGAGGGACAGCTGCCTCATACAGAGAACCACCAATCTCGAACATTTGGAGGTATTAAAACTTGGCAGTTATTACATCTTCAATACACATAGTAATAGTGAATAATAGTAAAGATATTTCTCTTTTTTTTTCCTGCCTCAGAGTGAGAATGAGTCTCTGCGGGAGCAAATCTCTTCCATGAATAAAGAGCTGGAGATCACAAAGGAGAAAATGAATACGTTAGAGCAAGCATGGGAGAACATCAGTTCAACTGGTAAAAGAGGGATAGTGGTCATAATATTAAGTTCAGCCATTTTCATTGAATGGAATGTCTTTATTTTGTGTTTTTTGTTTTTTGTAGATGTCGTTTAGTGAAAATCAACACAGCATTAGAGCACTGACACATGCGCTGTGTGTAATGTTTGAGCGAAGAGGCGAATGTCACATGTTCTTGCTATATCGCAACAAATCTGCAGCATGGCTACGATAGTTTAACTTTGGTGAACTTTGACCTGTGATTTTGGCTTTGCATTCACCATTCCTTTCCTGTGGGCTTTACAGGAAATGTGTAGTCTTTTACAAAATGATGTTCTGGCCATTTTTTTTATCAACATACAGGAAAAAGTTTAAATATTTCTGTCTTTAAAAAGGTATAGTCAGTAAAATATTTTCATATACAAAACTAATGTCGATCAGAACTCCTACAAAATCTTGTCAGCATGGGCTGCGTTTAATTTGGACTAACAATAGGTCTTAATGTTTTTGATGCAATATAATAATTATTTAGCTATTCCTAGCCATGACATCTCAAATTGTGTTTTCTACTTAATATCAGGAGGTGAAAATGTTATGGATAAGGCAAACAAGGCATTGGCCAACAATGAAATGGTATCTGCTGCCAGACGAATCACCACTCTTGAAATGAAGGAGCTGAACGAGAGGCAGAGAGCGGAGCATGCCCACAAAATGTATGAACACGTGAGGAGTTCCCTCAGACAAGTAGAAGAGCGCAACGTAGAGCTGGAGTCCAAGTTTGCAGAGGTAAGGGGATTCAAGAAAGAAGACTGATCACTTTTTCTCTCACACACAGAGGGAGTCAATGTGATTGTTTTTTCAATATATTGTGCTTGATGTAAAAGGCCACAAACACGGTCTTCTGATAAAGAAGATCATTTGTTTTGGTTTGTACAAATGAATAGTCATTTTGTATGGGATAGAGAGTGTGATGGGAAAGATTTGTTTCATAATTTCTCTGTTTTGGTTCATGACTTCCAAAAACAACAACACTACTCTGCTACAAGATTAGAGAAGTCTGTGCCAAATTCTTACTTGTTACGGACAATCTTTCCAAAAAGTCATAATTCAAAGAATCTTATCAAGCAGTAATAATAATGATTTTTTCCTCAGTTGACCCGCATGAACGTAGACGCCCAAAGGAACGAGCGGGAACTGAGAGATAAGCTGGCAGACAGCATCAGTAAAGCTGTGAGCAATGCTGATAGAGCCCGAATCACAGAGTTGGAGAAGGCCGGGGCTGAGCTCCGCATCGAGGTTTCTAAGTAAGTTTGACAATCTGCAAGCCTGAGATAAATCATTTCTGTTCCTCTCATGAGACCTAAGTCCCAGTCGTATCATAAAGAAATATTTACATGTAAATGATATCATCATAGAGGTTTTGTAAGGTAATAGCAGTGGAATGAAGAATAGCTGTGTTAACAAAACAGGATGTGAAAGATAAGCTTGTCCTGGTCCAGCAGGACAATATTTCCAATGTGTCTCGTGTGACCACTTGATCTCACATATGTCATTACCCTGTGTTAAGGTTAATGTGTGCGTGCATGCATGTGTATGGATATATTATTTTACCTAAAGTAGGTCACTACTTGGGGAATATCTCCAACATTTGGAACTGAAAACAAAAACTTGAATATGGTCCACAAAATGTTTCAAAGAAATCTCCATAGGTAATAAAGAGAATTTAATTCTTCTTATTTTAGTTTATGTTATGGTTGTAAGCTGTGGTATTTGTCTTGCACTCCTGTAAGTGTTGTGTGCGTATGTAATATGTGTGTTTTGTTTTTTTCTCTTTTTTTGCACAGGCTTCAAGAGGTGTCTGATGTGGCTGTGATGCAGGCGTCTGCTCTACAAGCCAGACAACAGTCCAATCAAAGGGAGGTAGAAGTTCTGAGGAGACAAATAATGGACTACCAGGTAAACTTTATTGAACCTGGGTATCTTATCATGTTTTTATTCTGTTGAGTACTTGTAAAGCGACTTTCAAGTCAGCAGCTTGTATTAAGTTGATGTAAAATCTCTAATCCATTTTTTTGACTTTTAGGTACTTGAGAATGTCTGAGAATTCAATAATGTAATATAATAAGTATGACTCTCAGTATTGGAGAGGTGAATTTTTTGACTCAAGGAATCAAAACACACAGAAACCTGTTTGTGTAGTAAAACTGTATATACTATTATATATTAGTATTTGTGAGTTGTGTGCAAACCTTTGTCTGTGTCTTGTGTGTTGTCTCTGTCCCTCAGTCACAGTCAGATGAGAAAGCCCTCATTGCAAAGCTTCACCAGCACATTGTGGCTCTGCAGCTGAGTGAGTCAGCTGCCTTTGCCAAACTGGAGGCTACCACCTCTCACATTCACAAGTTGGAGGCCTACAAGCTGCGTGCTGAACAGCGGCTGGATGCCAGTGAGCGCACTCTGTTCCTCGCCCGCCAGGAGGGCAGAAATCGCTCCAAGCACCTGCGACAGACCATCCAATCACTACGGAGGCAGTTTGCCGGAGCGCTGCCGCTCCCCCAGCAGGAAAAGTTCTCTGTGACCATGATGAACCTCCAAGAGGACAGAGCGAAAGCCCAGGAGGAAAAGAGGAAGGCGGAGAAGGAGAGGAGAAGAGCAGAGGGCAGGGCTGAGGAGCTGGAACTGAGGATGCGAGGGCTGGAGGAGCTCATCTCAACACTGAAGGATGTGAAAGGAGCCCAGAAGGTCAGTTTAGAAAAATGTTGTATGTGTAGACCCAAAGCTGTCGTCCTCTAACCAGAAGGTCAGCGGTTCGATCCCAATCTTCCCCATCTGTATGCCGAAGTGTTCTTGGGCAAGATGCTGAACCCCAAATTGACCCTCATAGAAAAAAGGGCTGTCCATAGATGCAATGTACTGTAAAAATGTGTGTGTGAATGGGTGAACAGCAAAAAAAAACTACTGTAAAGAGCATTGAGTGGTCATCAAGACTAGAAAAGCGCTATATAAATACAGACCATTTACAAAAATTAATACTAACAAATTATGTTATTGCATAGTGCTACAATTACCTGAAATTGAAAGAATAATAAACTGGTGGTCATGTTTTTTTGGGACTTCTTACCCACAACTTAATTCAAACAGATAACTGAATGGCACAAGAAGATGGAAGAAGCTCGTCTACAGGAGCTGCGCAAAGGTAGAGAACTGATGGTCCAGAAGGAGGAGATAAGGTACCTGAAGAACCTTGTGGAGCAGCAGGAGCGAACAGTCCGGTCTCTGGAAGAGGATATTGTGCAGCAAAACACGGTGAGAGGAAAAACAACTGTGACTTTCATGCCTGTCACGCCCTTGCAAATTTAAATTTATAGACAAATCTGTCTATTATTGTTTTCATAATGAGTTGTAATCAGGGTTTTGCAGTTGGATGATTGTGGCATGACTCAATTACAAAGTGTTGCCATGGAAAACACACTTAGGGAGCATTCCAGTACATATGTATATCAGTAGTAATACTGTATACGAGGCAGATGTCAGGGTAAAGTAGAAAACTCTTTTTCATCTCAAGCTTCAAGAAGAACAGCAGCTCACATGGGATCAGCGAGAAGTGGAGCTGGAGCGCCAAGTGGATCAGTTTGAGAAACACCAAGATGAAATTGTGAGCAGTGTGAAAAAGGTAATCTACTGTTTGCACTGGTTGACAAAGAAATAGGTCAAAAATAATGGCAAATACAATACATGATTATTCAGAGATGGACTGGTTTTCCAGCTCTTTCTCAGTTTTTAAATTCAATCATGAAGCTTAGATTTGTTCAAATGATAAATAACGTATAATAATACGTTAATAATAATAATATAATAATAATGACATTTGTTTTGGTTGTTTGCAGTTTGATGAAGGTACCGGCTCCCTACCAGATCCCAGTCTACCTCTTGCTCATCAGTTAGAGTTTGCTCTGGGTAAAATCAGAGAGCATGTCCGCACCATCTTGGACACACAGGCCACCTGCAAAAGTTTGGATGAGGTATAGTATTCCATCCCTCCTCGTAAGTGTTCCTTCCAAATCAAGCACATCATATATTGTTTGAATTATCCTTCACATGCAGAAGTTGAAAGAGAAAGCAGCGGCTCTGTGGAAGGCAGAACAGAACATTATGTCCAGGGATAAAGTCATCAATGAGTTGCGTCTTCGGCTCCCAGCTGCTGCCAACAGAGAACGCCTGCTTGCTGACCTCGCCAAGCATGAGGAGGGCCAGTCGGACTGTCAGCCTGCCCTCAAGCTGGCTCAGCAGGCCATCAAAGACCTCCAGGGTCGACTTGACAAGAAGGAGGATGTATTAAAGAAATACCAGAACCAGATGGCTCAAGCCAGAGAGGTACAGTAATGCAAGTAGAAGTGCTGGGTTTGCAGCGATTCTTAATGCAACATATCCCCTATGTTACTGGTGTAACTGGTGTGTGGTGTTTAAAGTGGCTGCAAGGTGTTGCAGTGATCAACACTGTCACTTCACCGCATGAAGATACTCCGACTTCCTCCTGCAGTCCAGAGAAATACAGCTCAGGTTAATTTCTTGTAGGTGTGAATGTGAGTGTCAATTTATGTCAGTACGGCAAACACATGCAACCTGTCCAGGGAATACCCCCGCAATCTTCAGTTTGGATTGGCTCTGTGTGTCCCCTGCAAAGGATAAGCAGTATAGATCATGTACTGCATTTATTTCCTTTACAACATGTACCTCTTTAAGCCTTGTAAAATTGATTTAAATAAAACCATGTGAGATGTTAAGAGTGAAAAAAAAACTCAGTGACCACTTTTGAGGTCACTGAGTTTTTTTTCACAGATTTTTCTAAGGGGAACCACAAGTTTAATCTTTATTTTCATAGAATTTAGTTAAAAGTACTTAAGTAGTAGATAGGTATTAGAAGAGGAGTAGATGTTAAACTTAACAAAATTGAAGTAGAATGAATAAAAATTGTGACTCAACTCATCTTTATTTAAGTACAAACATGCAGCATGAAATGGAATGAAATGGAAATGATTATTAGATAAGAACTAAAGCAAAAGATTTAACAATATTCTAAATCAAAAGCCAAATTAAAGAAATTGGTCTTTAATTTCTCTTTTGAAATCCCAGCGATAACATGCGCTGCAGAGTAAGGACTAAAGAACAGAAGGCGACCTCAGCTGTACTTTTATGTGACACATGAGGAACATTTAAAAGAAAGCTGTGGAGGATCTTAGTGATTTGGCTTGGACATAAAATGAAAGAAAATCTCTGATGTATGGAGGAGCAAGGCCATTTAGAGTTTTATAGACTAAGCAGTAAACTAAAGGAAACTTGTTAAAGAGCTTTAAAATCAGCTCTAAAAAGTCCAGGTAGCCACTGCAATGTCTTAAGCCGCAGGGTAAGATCCGTTCTCTTTGTTTTAGTTAGGACCCCGGCCACTGCACTTGAAATTACAGACAGTTTTCTTATAGACTTCTCAAGTAATCCAGTTAATGCGCCTAATAACAAAGTACAGTCTATTTCCACAAACGTGTTGGCACTGTGGTGTTAATCCCAGGAAATCCAAGGTCCTTTGGTCAATAGTAAATAAACCCCACGTTAAATGTTACTGCCATTGACATTAAAAGCAAATGAAACTACAGGAGAAAATAGTGGCTATGTCACACACTTTTATTTTGTTCCCTGGAATAAAAAAGCTACATTTAAGAGAAGAGAAATTAGAGAAGACTTACAAAGTGACTGAAGTAGTCAAAGTAAACCAGTCTTCAGTTGAAATAAATGAATAGATATGAAACATTTTGCTTATGCTCAGGAGTGTTTGTGAAATACATCACCTTGTGATGCACCTGGACACATCGTCAGTGATGTTACCTGGGGTCATTGGGTGTTTCGGGTCTTTCAACAATCAGACACTCTCACCCAAGCCACCCAACCGAGGTTGATCAAGCCCCTGCTTGTGTCCAGGTAGTGCTACCCTATCCAAGGCTCTCCTGATCCACAGCCACCTTGATGCAGCTTCTGCTGCCTCAGTGGCCACCTTGATGGCCCTTCGCCTACTGGCTCCTGTGATGCCCAGCATGTTGTAGGCCCTGCAGAGAGACTGGCGTGCGAACCCTCTGCATCCCACCTCGCTCACCACCCGTTGTTTCGGCATTCTTCAACTAATTCAGTACTTTTCCCTCTTCCTCTCATCGGCCTCCTCGATACGATCCTCCCAGGGAACTGTGAGTTCTAGGAGCATAACCTGCTTGGAGGCTTCTGAGATCAGCACCATGTCTGGCCTTAACACTATTGTGGCAACGGCTTCTGGGAACTTCAGTTGCTTCCCCAGTTCACCTTTCAACTCCCAGTCTTGTGCCGTTGCTAGAAGGCCCGAGGAGTTGGTCGTCCTAGCAGCTGCTGTTGGCTTCTCCCCAGCCCTGACGAAAGTGATGTTCTTCTTCACTGGGCAGAGGCTTTTGCAGTGGCTAATCCCACTGCAGATGGTGTCCACTATGGACTTCAGGACTTGGTCGTGGCGCCAGCAGTAGCCCCCCTTGCCCAGGGCTTTCTAACAGCAGCTGAGGATGTGCTCCAGGTGCTGGTGACTCCACCTTCCCCCAGCAGAACAAGTTGGATGGGCTTGGTAGAACGTCATAGACAGCCTGGGTTAAGAATTTTATTCGATGGGGCTCGGCTTTCCAAAGCTCGGCTCATGAGACTTTGCGCTCCACCGCTTGCTCCCATCTTGTCCAGACTCGCTGCTGCCACATCCCAACCATTCTGCTGGGTCGCTCTTCCTCAACCACCCCTCTCACCTCATCCTGGACCAGTGACCTCCTGTCCTTTCCCTGTGCCTCGTACTAGCGAGGTGTTTTGCTACTACCAAGTCCAACCCTTCCATGAGACACTGTGCCCACCAGCACCCTATGCCTTAAACTGTAGAGATCGGGAACTCATAGACCAAGAGGAGCCAGAGAATCCGTGGAAGGATGCCATGTTGGTAAATCCAGGCCTTGAACTTGCCAGGTAGGCCCGACTTGTCCACTGCAGCTAAGTAGGCTTCCAGCTCATGGTTGGTTGTTCGAATGGATGCTGTGTCTCTCAGGCTGCAGTCAAACACCTTTCCCAAGCTCTTCACTAATTTCACAGTGGTTGATGATATCTGGGTGCTGCCAAGTGCATTATTGGCTTGGGTTTAGGGCTCACTAGCACAGACTGTTTCAGTATTCACTAGGTTGCATGTGTTTCTGTCATAATGTGGACAGGATGCTTGTGCTCTGTAATTATGGTCTTAATTACCAGTAAGAGGATATGAGGGTTAGACAGATGAGGCTGGTAGGGGACTGAGCATGTGTGGTGTGTCAGCCTGTCAGAATCAGAATCGGAATCACTTTTATTGCCAGATTGGTGAACACAAACGAGTAATTTGACTCCGGCTTTTCTTTGCTCTCTTAGTACAAACAGTTGAAAAAAAACAAACAAACATAGAATAAACAAGAACAAAGACAAAAACAAAAGCTATGTACATGTACAAAAAAGCTTAATAGTTGGTGCAAAGGTGCATAGTGCATGGATGAAATAATAAATATACATATTCAGTGTGCACAGTATATTGGTATGTACAGAAATTTTACAGGTGATGTTACTGACATTTGAGTCCGTTTTTTTAGCTGTTCGACACAGAGACAGCCTGAGGGAAAAAACTGTTCCTATATCGGGATGTTTTGGCGTACAGTGTTCTGTAGCGCCTTCCGGAGGGGAGAAGTTTAAACAGTTTGTATCCAGGGTGTGATGGGTCTGCAGAGATGTTACCTGCCCGTTTCCTGACTCTGACCAGGTACAGGTCCTGGATGGAGGGCAGGCTGACACCAATCATTTTCTCTGCAGACCTTATTGTCCGTTGCAGTCTGTTCTTTTCCTGTTTTGTGGCCGATCCAAACCAAACAGTGATTGAGGAGCAGAGAACAGAGTGAATGATGGCAGGGTAGAATTGTGACAGCAGCTCCTTGGGCAGGTTGAGTTTCCTGAGCTGGCGCAGGAAGTACAACCTCTGCTGGGCCTTTTTGATGATGGTGACTGTGTTGGTCTCCCACTTCAGGTCCCGGGAGATTGTGGAGTCCATAACTTGAAGGTTTCAACAGCAGTCACAGCGTTGTTGGTGATAGTGATGGGCGGTAGAGTGGGGGGGCGTCTCCTAAAGTCCACTGTCATCTCCACAGTTTTGATCGTGTTCAGCTTCAGATTGTTCTGACCACACCAGCAGACCAGCCGTTCAACCTCCCGTCTGTAAGCAGACTCGTCACCTTCCTGGATGAGGCTGATGATCGTTGTGTCATCTGCAAATTTCAGGAGTTTAACAGACGGGTCTTTAGAGGTGCAGTCGTTGGTTTAAAGGGAGAAGAGCAGTGGGGAGAGCACACACCCCTGGGGGGCTCCAGTGTTGATACTCCGGGTGCTGGATGTGATGCTCCCCAACCTCACCTGCTGCTTCCAGTCAGTCAGGAAGTTTGTAATCCACTGACAGGTGGAGGAGGGCACAGTGAGCTGGGTGAGCTTGGTGTGGAGGAGGTCTGGAACGATGGTGTTGAACGCTGAACTGAAGTCCACAGACAGGATCCTGCAGAGTCGAGGTGTTGCAGGATGTAGTGCAGTCCCATGTTGACAGCATCATCCGCTGACCTGTTTGCCCGGTAGGCAAACTGCAGGGGGTCCAGCAGGGGGTCTGTGATGTCCCTCAGGTGCAACAATACCAGTCTTTTGAAGGACTTCATGACTACAGACGTGAGGGCGACAGGCCTGAAGTCATTCAGTCCTGTGATGGTGGGTTTCTTGGGGACCGGGATTATTGTGGAGAGTTTGAAGCATGAGGGGACTTCGCACAGCTCCAGGGATCTGTTGAAGATCTGGGTGAAGATGGGGGCCAGCTGGTCAGCACAGACCTTCAGACAGGGGGGTGACACACCGTCTGGGCTGGGTGCCTTCCTGATCTTCTGTCTGTGGGAAAGCTGACAAACATCCTCTTCACAGATCTTGAGTGCTGGTGGGGGGTCAGAGGGGAGAGGTGGCAGAAGGGGTGTGGATGGGTCTTTAATATCTGAGGGGGGAGAGGTGTGAATGAGTCGAATTTGCAGTAAAACACATTCAGCTCGTCAGCCAGTTGATGGTTCACTGCAGTGTTGGGGGATGGTCTCCTGTAGTTTGTGATGTTCTGCAGGCCTCTCCACACTGACGCTGAAAAGTTGGCTGAAAGGCTGTTTTTGATTTTTTTCAGCGTAGCTCTTCTTAGCTGCTTTCACCTCGGTCGTCAATGTGTTTCTGGCCTGGTTGTACAGGACTCTGTCCCCACTTATGTAGGCCTCCTCCTTGGCCTGACCAGGGTTTGTTGTTGTTGTATGTGCGGAAGATCTTGGTGGGCACACACATGTCCTCTCAAAAACGATTAAATAAATAGAGAAGATTAAGTTTTAAATGATGGTGGCACAGTGAGGTGGTGTTTAGCCACAGCAAGAATGTCCTGGTTCGAATCCCAGTTCAATTCCCAGTTCAGAAGGGGTCTTTCTGCGTTCTTGCCTTGTCTGTGAGTTTCTGCATGTTGAGCTTGTGATATGCTGGTGACCTGTCAGGGGTGCACGCCGCCTCTCGCCTAATGTCAGCTGGGAATAGATCCTGCTCCCCTAAAATAAGATAAGCAGTGAAGATAATGGATGGAAAAACTTTAAAATGTTTATTTCACTCCAACTACACCTTGTTGAACCCAGGATCAAGAGGAGATGATAAAGAGACATCAGGAAGAGCTCAGGATGCTGCATCAGAAGCTTGACTTGCACTCTGACACATCATTGGACCGCTTCAAACAGACAGCAATGGTATGCATTTAAATCTCTTCTCGTTTTATTTTACGGGGTTAACTCTACACAGTCTATACAAGATTGAGTGTAGATCTCCCACATTCTGTGTTTTGTTTAATGCTCCCTTCATCCTTTTCCAGGAGTTAATGAAGAAGCCCACAATAAAGGTGCCGACCTCCAAGCATCTGGAGCGCCTGGCTGAGCTTGAGCAGACCGTGGCTGAGCAGGACCTCTCACTGTCGTCTGCTACAGAAAAGCTGAAGCTGACCACTGATGAGCTACAGCGACAGAGGGCCGCCATGGAAGCACAGGCTATGAAAAATGCTGATGAGATGTCAAAGTAATTAGTAATAAGCTAATAAGCTTTTCCTTAGTTTGAGTCAGTGGTCAAGTCTCAATATTCAGTTATATTAGAATCCAAATCCTTTATGTTACTTTTATCTTCATTGTTTTAATGAAGTAATGTAAAATCAATACATACAAAAGCTCACTCTAAAATGTTCTAAATTGAAGGACTTAAATGTAGTATTAAATAGTATAATAACCAGCTGTATGAGAACGCACCCAATGCACCAACAGGGGCAAATAAAACCAAATCTGTTTGTCTGGTAGAGAAATCTCGCTGCTTATGGCAACACAAACAGATAATTAGGCTTACTTGCCCGGTGTGAAAGATGCAATGCAGATCGACCAGCCATGCAGAATAAACCTTCATGCCCAAATATATCTGTGCTTGGAAGAAATATTGTCTTGCATTTGCAAACTAACTTGTAAACTTGGCCTCTATGTCAGAGCCTCTGGGGGCCATGGCCAATATTTAGGGTCAAAAATGGATATCCAGGCCAAGACATTCACCGTACACTGTTACAGTCTGTACCTTTTGTACATGTGTAGGTCCAGATGGCTCATTTCTATCAACAGCTACCTATGAATGCAGATTTAAAAAGCTAAGAGCTAATGCATTTCAGTCAATGTATTCCCCCTGTTTTGCTCTCCACATGGAGTGTTCACCTGCGGGCAACCAAAACTTGCTCAAACGTGATTGATCAAACTAGAACTCTTTTAGCCTCAAAATCATGTCCCTCGCCTTCAGATTTTTGTATTGACGTTAAGAAGATTTGGCCTTGACATAAATGAGAGGATTGTGTTGCCTATAGGCAGGTCTTTATCAAAATGAGCACTTAAGGTGTGGTTGAGACTGCTCACTTCCAGTAGACTTTGTCTGGGTCTCAATTTTCACTAATAACATTAAACATGCAATCTACGTACATGTGCATTTGCAGTCTTGTATTATGTTTCCCTTGTTTGCTCCAGGCCAATCTTTTGAGTAAGAATGTACATTTTAAGTGTGTATTATTTACTCATGGCTACACCCTCTGCATACCACATTAGCAGCAGATCACAAAAACAAGACCACGCATGTTGGTCACAATTCTCACTCTATTGAGTAAGTACTAATGACAAGGAAACACATGTTTTGGATATTAGAAGCATTAAAAGGGATTAAAAATTATGTAATCATGCTGAATAAGGAAATCTGTTATAAAAACCATTTGTTGCAGGATGAAAGAGCATCATGCTGCCCAGGTGAAGTGTCTGACTGCTGAGACTGAGGATCAGAGAAACCAAATGGCCCAGAAGGAAAAGGAGATGAACTACATCCAAACTGAGCTGGACGCCCAGAGGGAGGCCAACATCCGCTCCCCCAGTAACACCATGAAAAACCTGGTTGAACGACTTAAAGCTCAGCTTGCTCAGAAAGAGAAACAGCTTAAGGTTGTTCTTTCAACATATAACTTTACTTGTTTGCTCCTGTTGCTTTATAAAAGTACCCAGATTTCTTTGGGAATGAGGAAATGCTTTCTTTTGTTGGCGTCTTGCCCCAAAAGTGCTTATGTTTCATCCCTTTCCAAAGATGTGCATACCATGTGGACACATTGCACCAAGTAATTCATACAACAGCAAATGAGTGTTTTTGTCTGTGTGTTGGCTGTGTCATGGAATGGCTGCCTGATCTGGATGCTTTCCTGCTGTTCACCAAGTACCTCCTTGTTGTGAAACTTGAATGAAGCATATGAATGTTGCTTTTCTGGATTCCAGCTTCATAACAAGCAACAACTTAAGTAGATCTGGAAATCAGTTTTTTATGATACACAGTACAACATTTTTGATCACTGCACTTATATTTATCATTGACGACATCTCTTTGTTCCCTGTTCTCTCAGGCTCTTAGTAAAGCTCTGTTGGAGCTGCGGGCAGAGATGACGTCTGCTGCAGAGCATCAGGTCATAGCTAGTGCTGCACAAAAGGAAGAGAGCCTCAATGTGCAGATGCTGATTGACAGGCACACCAAAGACCTGAAGGTGAGACCCTGATATCGTCACAACATGTTCTCATGTGTGTGTTCATTTCATAGAAAGCATGTATGGTAAGCTCAGTAAGTAATTTTGATGAATTTAGATTACACAAAGAAAAACATTAAAAATTTAAAATAAAATAAAAATCCTTAAAGGTAGAGTTGGTAAGTTGTTTCTGAAACACTTTCTATGTAATTTCTTGAAATCCTTTTAACATCCTATTGGCTATTAATAAATAAAGTTGTCTGAAGAAAAAAAACAAGCCTGCCTGTGTGCACCCTGCCCCCTGAAGCAGAGATGATAGATACAAGTAAGTGGGTCACATTAAAGTTGCCTTCTAGCAGTTGTCAGTCAGTGTGCGTTCATGTGTTTTTAGTGAAAATTGTGCATAGTGTAGCCTGCCCCTTCTAGCGTTTTCAGGCCCTAGCTTTTAAGATAGGAATTTCATCTATAATTCCTGCTTTAATACAACAACAGTCTTCTGTAGTTTGGGTCTGTGTTGATTTACTGTCACAATGTGCCTGGTGGAGCTGGTGAACACATGACACAGACTAACCTCATTGCACAGACAGAATTATTGACATAATGAACAGTTGTTCATTTATCACCACTTATAGGAAAGTTGGGGATCAGTCAGACATGTAAAGATTTAAAACTTACCGGTAATCACGATTTATTTTGTCTCAATTGAAAAAACACATACTGTCTAGTCTATGTAACAGACAAACATACCAGATAACATTAAAATCTGGTTATATTCTTTATTTTTGGTTATTCTTAACAAATCCTATAAAAAGACAAAAATGTGTTTATGGGTCTCTCACTATTTGCCTACTTCCTTTTGACTTAATCGAGCCCATTCCCTGTTTCTGTTGAGGACATAAACCTTTAAAGACAGATTACAAATAGAAAGTTTTGTTTCATAAAAAACGTACAATGTACAGTGTATGTTGATGGACATATAAGACATATAATCTTGATATAAGATAACAACAGGGTTTGGATACACAGATAATACTTCATGTTGTTGATGTGACTTGGTTAATGTGGATGGTTTTGGGATTTTCATTGGCTTTGAAAAAATCAGATTATAACAATTTTTTAAATTTCAAAATAAAGGACAAGATGGTGAATATCCCTTGAACCTTTGAAGGTCTTCTGCACAATTAAAGTTACCAACTACCAGTAGATGTTAGCAGGTGTTATTGGCCACCAGCGGATTTTAGGGACATAACTTCAGTTGTGCACCTTAGCATCATATAGAGTTTTGGCTTGTAATCAGTGATACAGACCAAACTTGAGGGTACGCTGTGGCTAAAGGTAAATCTGACTGGCTACTGGCTTTATGGTGGTACTATGAAAGCTGTCCGCTCAGTAGATCTGACATCATTACCTCTATGCCTTTTTAACTAAACACTTTCCCATTTTAGAACATGATGGAGAATATCCCTTGTATGTTCTACCACTTAAATCCCTCTTCTCCAAAGGTGCGGGTGCAAGAACTCAATGAAGAGCTTCAAGCTGCAAAGGACTTCGCCAAGGCAGTGAGAGGTCGGGAGAACACCCTGAAAGAGGAAGTGGACTGCTTGAACCAGGAGCTCCAGAGGAGTCATAAAACCCAGAGACGTCTCCAGGCTGAGAGGGAGGAGAGGGATCAGGAAATTCAGGAGCTCAAGCAACAAACAAAGAGGCTCAGCAGCGCTCTGCAGGTTAGTATGTAAGATGCAACAAATCTTGACTGGAGCGTATTGTTGTCGCTGTTTGTAATAATACAGTGATATGCTCAACACCACCCTTGTGATTCAACAGCCACATGAGCATAACATCATGTTGTCAAGTGATCGGGATCCTCTGACGCAGGCATTAAATTCAGACCTTGAGATATGATAACATAATAAAAACATGCAAACCGTGCCAGGCTCTTTCACAGCATTTTTTTTAAAATTGAGGAATGCATCAAGAATGAACTCATTTGTCTAAGATTTTAAAATCTTCTTGTGTAAGGTTTTGTTGTAGATCAGTGTCACCTAGCATGTACAGTACAATTAAATCTCTCTCCTATATCTCTAACATAATGCCATGTGGTGTGACCCTGTCTGAGAACAGTGAGGTGCTATGAAAATTCTCTGTATTTATGATTAGAATCAACCAGAACCAGATGGGAAGGGGCCAACAATCGAGAATCTGCAGAAGAAGATCAGGAGGCTGGAGTCTGACTTGGACAAAAGGGCAGAAATGAAAGATGTCAAAGATGATCAAAGAAAGGTTTGAACATTAATTTTGTCAACATTTAAGATTTTTTAAAGGTGTCTATCATTGGACAGTGTCTGATATTACATGGTATATATTAGTGCAATTTCTACTGCCGTCCACCATGGGCACTGCCTGTAGCCCTGACCATCAACCAGGGGTGAATATGTCTGGTCACACTGGCTCCGTACTTCAGAGGGAAAAAGCTTTTAACAACTCAAGACATTTTAAAAAACTAACTTGCTTTAACACGTTAATAAATAAATATTTGAGATTTTCAGTATTTGTGACATTGTGTAGCGTAAATTGTGGAGTGATCATATATCTCTTTAGGTGCATGGGTGTTCAAATTTATTTTATCACTACGTTTTGGAGTTTGCATGGTTTTAAAGATACTTTTAAGGTTTCTTCCTCTGCCAAATAAATCTGAAAATGACTTTGTTCAATTAAAAAAAAAAAGTTTTAAGGTAATTTCTACAGGAGGTGCTTAAAATAAGAGATATCGAGGATGAATGTTCATTTTTACAATGTCAACTCTCTGAGGCTGAAGAAAGAAATGGAATTCCATTTTGTATGTCGTCTATAATTTGTTTAGTTATGGGACCATAAATTATCTTTTTCTATTGATGGAATTTCCCTCTGAGGAACCTTGAGGTTTTTAAGTAAATGTCCAAACCTGAGTTTTGCACAATCAAATCATATCCTACATATCTCCTACCTACTTATACCTGTGAGTCACACAGACCACAAGGGGGAAAGAAAGAGCAATGGTTGAACCTATGCATTCTAGAAGTCTTCACCCTGAAGCCTGTTTAATACCAGGTTTTTGTATCCATCTGTAAATGAAGTTAGGTTTTCTTAGTCAGTTTCCCACAGTTGGGAAGTGCGTGTAAGACACTCTATCACTCAGCACTACATGTGATTTCTGATAAAGATGTTTAGATAATGTTGCCATCCCGTCCTGGGTGGTCATCGGCTGCCATGTCCAATTTTGGCTTGTTTTCTATCACCTTTGTGTTTGCCATACTTCTAGTAGCCCCATTCAACATCATACAACAATAGACACTGGGATAAGTAAATGCAGTGTTTTTTGGCTGTCATTCCTTTAGTGGTAGAACCGAAAAACATTTAAAAAAATCAAACAGTTCTGAATTGTACTTTTAGTAGCATTGTCATTCAATATGTGTATACTTGTCTTGCAGACTAAAGAAGAGATTGTGCGGTGGGAGGAGGGTAAGAAATGGCAGGCTAAGATGGACAAACTGAAGAATTCAGTGAAGGAGAAGGAGCGTGAGAACGAGTCCATGTCGAAACAGCTCATCACTCTGAAAGACCTCTATGGCAGGTCAGTGTGAATATCATACCACAGCTCTTCATCTTACCCTTGGTGTACATGACAGAATTACTTTGATTTGAAGCTGCACTCAGCAACACATGACAACATAATTTGCAAACTTAAACATGAGTAGGCAAAAAAAAAAAAGCCTGGCATGTGACTGTAAGAAATTACATCATCTTCATGAATATTGTAATTTTCCACTCTAAAGAAATCTTAATTGCCTGTTTTAACTGTCCAATACCCAAAGATTCAATTTCCTTTTATCCTAGACAAAGACATGTGGTAAGCGTCATATTTGAGAAGCTAGAAACTGAAAATGTTTGGCATATGTGCCTTAAAAATGAAATTAATTTCTTATGAAAAAATTAGCAATTTTCAAACGTATTGGTTGTGTAATACTTAATAATTAAGTAATAATCAATAACCGAGGTATTTAGAAACACTATGTAAGATATATGAGAAAATCAGTCTGAAAGCTGCTGCCACTGTTATGATTGAAATGTCAAAAACAGAGCAAAATGTTTAGTGTAGTTTTTTAGTCTCAATGGAGCAACTATATTCAGTGTTTTGTGTTGCTAGTCAGTTTTTTTGGGGGCAATACTGTTTTCATTCTGTTTTACTGTGTGTGTGCAGACTGGAGCAAGAGAAGGGTGCACTGCAGAAAAAGCTCAAGGCTCGAGGTGTGACTGCTGACCAGGTAGTGGGTGTGAGAGCCACTGAAATGGAGAAGGAACTAGAGGAGCTGAAGAAGAAGAACTCAGACCTGGAGACGCAGATCCTCACGATAAAGTATCTTTCAGTCTTTAGAGATTCTCGTCATTCAAAATGCCCTGATTTTAGTTTGTTGTTCTTGAGGTATTTCCAGTGCATGGAGATTCTGGGTTCCAAACCCATCTCTATATGGGTTTTCCTCCTTGTACTCCACCTTACTCCCACAATCCAAAAATGAGCAGGTTAGGTTAATGGGCCACTCTAAATTGCCTGTGAGAGTGAATGGTCATTTGAAACACTTATGATCTTTCTGCTGTATGAATGATAGATGGATGGATGGACAGGAATCATTTTTTACTTCACTGTCTTTGCATAAAAACTCAGTGAACTAAAAAGCTAACTTGATTAATAACACATCTATTACAAAAAGAAACAAGACAATGCACTTCACAAAAGATAAATTAAGCCAGCAGCTGATTGCGACCTTGAGTCTAAACTGTAGGCCTTTCAAAATCAATCAAGTAACTGGACACCACTACAATCTGAGATATGAGAGCGGAAATTAATGACTATAAAAAATGTCTAATATAGCAGTTGGCGCCCTAACCACATCCCGCCGCCACTCTAACTTTCATGGAATTCTCAGAAGTAATTATTTAGAATCATATGTCATTATTGTTGGATACACATTACAAAGTTATGGATTGAGAGATAGTTAAATTACATTAAATGTATGAATTAGGTCAATGGTGATATCAGTGTTTACAAATTAAAAAAGGTCTGTTAACAATATTAGCCAATCTTTGAAAGTAACCCCTTGAATTTATGTACTACTGCTATCAAACATGTATGTACCCCTATTTGTTTCACTTAAGCTAACAAATATGCCAGTCATTATAAACTGTGTCTGTGATCAGCCAAACAGGTTCTTTATTAACATTACAAATAGATTCTTTGAAAGTGATAAAAATTTAATCAAATTGTGTTGATGTAGTGCTCTTTGTGCAAAGAAATGGAAATGGCATACAAAGGGCTTTACATTACAATAAAGAGGGCGATAAAAAGAAAATACATAAGGAAATGATAATAAGAGACATGGTAGAATAGAAAGACCAGTGAAGCATTGTTGCTAGAGGATTGTTTTTCATGAAACTTTACAGTTATGTTAATCAGGAAGTGAAGTGGTTCCTTTTGATATTTGGGTTTGCAGAGGGGGATATGCCATCTCCTGTTCACTGTCTTTCACACAGCTCCCAGGATGTTCCATAGAAGTACATAAGACTCTATGTAACATTTCCCTGAATTCCATTGTTCTCAACACTGGAACAATTATAAGGCTAGTTTTAGATGCCCTGAGAGGTCTGGGGGGGGGGGGGGGGGGGGGGTATAGATTAAAACCATGTCTGAGAAGTATACAAGCTAGTCCATTGAGGAATTTGAACACATTTGAAAAGATTTTAAAATCCATTCTATAACGGAAAGACACTTTTGGATTGGTGAAATGTATGTTTTCCTTTTGGTATTCCATCTGTATGAGATTTATAGCTTATTTATTGCTTTCTTAGACACACCAAAAAAGACAGCATCATAGTAGTCAAGTCTGTTAGTGATAAAAGCATGCTCTCACTATCTGCCTTGGAGATAAATGGAGGCACTGAAGCAACAAATCTAAGATGATTAAAAGCATTTTTAATCATATTTCTGACATGACATTCAAAATTTAAATCATAGCCTGGAACCGCCTCAAAATTTTTTGGTAGGGGCTTATCAATAGGGCTGATGTCGTCTAATGATAATGAAATGTTCAGTTGTGTATCAATAGCGTACCTATGAAAATGAATCCCTTGCTCTCATGATATTTCCCTGTGGCAGCACATAGATTAAACAGAATAGGTCCCAGGGTCATTATTTGTCCAAATAATCCAACTTTATATTTTGTTTGAACGTGCAGACAACACCAGGCTTTACCTCGTGATGACGCCATGGAGAATCTGGTGCTGAAGAACCGCTATCTAGAGGACAGAATCCACATTTTAGAGAGTCAGATGTCCAAAGATCCTCCGTCAAGACCCTCTGTAAGTGCTCATCAGCATACACTAAACAGTTCAACACGTGTGCTTGAAACATAAAGTGGTGAAACAATTAGGCTGCTTTCAGACATACACTGAACTGGATAATCTCTTGATATTTAGAGGCGCCACAAAAGTCCAGGTGAGAGGATAAAGACATTCTCTGGAGTTTCTCCTGCCAACCCCCTACTAAAAACTCTGGAGCTTGTCCGAATGAGCACTCATGTGAGAGCACAACAGGAGATCCTCCTAGGTCCCTAAGCCAGTGGGCGTGTTAATGACATTTCTAACATGCAATCAATGCAAAACTTATTTTTAGGGATAAGGGCTAATACCAGTGTCTGCTGAGCGACCCTTCACCTGAACGCTGTGGAGATTTTTCTTTTGTTTTTAACACGTTTGACTGGAGAATCTCCTGCTGCGGTCTTCATATGTAAAAGGTAACCTCCAAACCCCAATGTCCACAAATTATCCAGAGCTCATGTCTGAAAATGGCTTATTATAATTTATCACAAAATATTACCATGCAATATCGATTGGTATTGAAGAAAGTTATTTAAGCAAAGATGCTAAACATTTATTAAGTTCTGACATTCTAAAGATTGGAATTTGCTATTTCTCTGTTGTTCGACATGATACGGTTTGTTTTAACTTTACATTCACTTTACATCATTGTAGATGTAATGTGATAGTTTTGATCTTAAATTAAGAACAAATATAAAACACATCATATTTGATTTTTTTGTTTTGAAAAGTGTTATAATAAAATAATTATTATCATAATTTATTAAAATAGAGATGACAAGACCTCACATGAATGCAGGTTTAGAGTCGGTCAGCTACAGTACACACCACTGTAATGAACAGTACATTTTTACCTCTCGACATAATGTGGCTCAGCCCCACTGTAGGACTTTTAACAAAACAAGAGATATCGTGAAAAGTAGCTTATATAAAATATGAAAATAATTCAACCAATGTAAGAAAAGAAAAGATCAAACTAAGAAAAAGGAAAACCACAGCTGTCATCTGATCTGGGAGAGGTTATCTCCCTGAGGCTGAATTATGGAACTTTACAGGGCAGAGCATGCTGGGGCAAGGTATAACTCATTTAGCTGATAACCCTCCATTAAACACATGTAAAACACAACCGCAATTACACAGAGACTACTATTTCCCAGGTGGATGGGGGTCATCGAGAGATTAAAAGACGTTTTTCTTTCATTGTATTCCACTATTCATTATTCTTTATTATTTCTTTATTTATCTCCATTGTCCCTGGATTTCATCTGATTCATTGCCTTTGAAGGTAAAAAGCTCCTCCTCCCAGGCCTTGAGAGGGATTTGTTCTGTCACTTTTGATGTTGTTGATGGGTCATGCGAAAGGAATGTTGCGCCCCATCCTGCTAAATCCTCCAGCTCCTCCGTCAGCCCTGAAGCTGTCAAAGAGCCTGCTGACCATCAGAGGGCGCCAAAGCAGAGCAAGACAGACAGAAAAACCCAAACCAGCTTTGTTGGGGAAGAGGATGTTGGCCTTGACCACGAGCAACCAAGCCCTGATGAAGTAAAAAATGCAGCAGCTAACAAAATGCATGATGAAGTAGATGATGAGACACAAACAGAAGCTGAACATGCAGAAAGCACAAAAGATGTCCCAAATGCTTCTGATCTTGATGTGCTTGAAGAAAAGGACACAAAAGAAATTGAGGCCGAGTCTGATGATCCGTCAGAAAGACCTGGATCAGTTATGTCATCCTCTAAACCAAGGGCAGCAGCAACAGGCCATGAAACAAGTGAAGCTATGACTAAAGAGAGTGCTGCTGAACCAGAGGATCGAGACACAGATGATGATGATGATGATGATGTGAGAATCAAGGCAGAGAAGTCAGAAGAGGATAATAACCAGGTTGAGCTGAAAGATGAAGCAGTTGAGACTACAAAGGAGGCAACAGAGGAAGATAATCCAGAACAGTCGTGCTCAGCAGAACCAGATGTGGACTCCGGCACCACACAGAGCACACACCCGGGGTACATTAGAAGAAGAAGGGATGAGTGCGTACAAAAACGAGAAAGCAGATGTCTTAGATATCTAAAGGTACTTCAGACTTCTATAGTCACCCAGCTGAAGTGATAGTGCTGTGGTAGCATGGCAGTATATGTGGCAGAGTAAAAATCAAGGCACTAACAGTAGAAGTGACTTGTTTGTGTTTTGCTCCCCTGCATTGTCCTTCATGGATGTGGTTGTGTTTTTAATGAACCCTAGAACAAGGATGGATGGCATGGATTTAAAAATGATGCTGGTTTACTACACTCCCTTAGTGCTTTTGTTTTTGAGGATGCAATCTCCTCCACCGTAGTAGTTGTAATCACCATACAATTTAGATCGTTCTCTCTGGCTCATGTTGTATCCTTGCTTCACTCCAGACTTCAGGTCGAGGCACTGGCACACCCTCACAGAGAGATCAAGACCTCCAAAAAGAAAACCTCAAGCTTGCCTCAGACAACCTGGAGCTACGATTTCAGCTGGAGCAGAGCAATAAAGACTTACCAAGACTCAAGGTACGCAGATCAGAGAGAGGGCAGAGAGAGAGCAGAGAGAGAGCAGAGAGAGAGCAGGCTGTTCAGGGAAATGTTCTAACCAGCTGCTAGCTGTAGCTTCCAGACGTCACTAAGAGCTGGCAGCTTTTTCTCAAGATTGAAGATGTTAAAAATGTATTGAACCCCATGGTTCAACCCCAAAATAAACTGAAGGGAAACGTGTTTATTTCTCTTCATACACTTTTTCCTGTTTTTTCACAGAACCAAGTTGCAGACCTAAAGGAGATGTGCAGTGCATTGAAAAAGGAAAAGGCAGATGTGAAGAAAAAACTGTCCCATATAAGTGGAGTGAGTTAAAGTCACATAGTCACCAGCTGCAACGACTTTGTGCGTGTGCATGATAATTTGTTACATCCAGAGAAACTTTTTCAGCATTGATAGCTGTCCTCAGGGGGACCAAAGCTCAGTGCTAATAAGGTGAAACTTATGCAAGGTTGACAAAATGTGTTAGGTGAGTAAAGAAAGAAAGGAAGACTACATTTAGAAGTAAGTGTGGTCTCACCCATAAGCATTTAGTTCTCTTGTAATATTGTATTAATTACTACTCATAGGTGGGAACGTCATGTGGGCATGTGTGATTCCATTACAGGATGGATTCTTTTTATTCACGATTTTCCCAAAAATGACAGCAATAATAAGATAGAAACATTAAGATATCTATATATGTGGTACGAAAAGCAGCAACTCCACTGAGGTTCTCTATTAAATTGTAGTCACCAATGTCCTGTTTATCACGATCATGATTTGTCATGTGTTCCTCACCAGACTGGCCACAGTGGTAAAACAGTACCTGAACTAGAGAAAACCATTGGGTTGATGAAGAAGGTGGTGGAGAGGGTGCAGAGGGAAAATGAGACGCTGAAGAAGTCCAGTGCCACCGCAAGTCAAGACAAGGTCGCTGCCTTGGAGCAAGAAAACCAAAAACTAAAGGTTGTTAACCACTTTTTGTTTTGTGTCACACACATTTATTGTATAAGTTAATCAACTTCTTTGTTCTGTTACTACAACTGAGTCAATATTGCCCAGCCTCTTACTTTTACTTTACCTCCATAATTCAATAAACTTCATAAAAGAACTTTTCCTTACTTGTGCATGTGGTATTAACTACTGGATGCACACATTTATTCCAGGATCAATAAAATATCTATCAATGTATTGTTTTCTTTTAGGCTGAATATGAGACACTCAAGAGCCAAAGTGAAGCTGAGCTGAGTTCAAAACTTGAATCTAAGACCAAAGGACTGGAGAAAATAGTGATTGAAAACGAACGTCTACGCAAGGAGATCAAGAGGGTGAATACACGTTACTTCTACAATATGCTATTCAAAAGTACTTTCAGAAGAAAGGTTGAATGATATTTTCCTTTTTAAAAGTTGGTGTGTTTTTATTTAGTGATTTAAGGTCCCAATTAAGTTTTTGTAACCATGTGTAAATGTGAGCAGTGTTCCTATTTAGGACAGGCGCCGCCTATAGAACAACCCTTTGAAAACACATTGTTTTACCTGATTGTGCATGATTTGTATTTTTAACAGGAAATGGAGGCCGGAGAGAGGCTGAGAGTCACTAAAACGAGTCTGGAGGTAAACAACGAGAAGCTCGAGGCTGAGCTGGAGGAAACTAAACAACGGCTTCGTGCAGCTCTGTCCAAACCTATCACAGAGGGAGCAGACGCAAAGACCTGGAAGGCTTCTGTGGTAACAAGGTCAGCAAACTGCTCTCTACGCAGTCCATCTGAGTCCAATTCAAAAGCTTTCACCGCTTTAATGAAGAGTAAACAGTAGAGTGCAGCGGTTGTTTGTCTTCTTCTCTGCAGAATGTTTGAGAACAAGATGAAGGAACTGGAGAGGGAGCTCTCCAAGAAGACCTTCAGTCTGTGCGAACTCAAACAGCAGCTGAAGGAGGCGAACGAGCGCGAGGAAAGTGCACAGACCAGCATCCGACATCTTGAAGATCAGGTACATGCTTAAGTACGAGGGTGCTTTGAGACTGCATACCTCTGCCAAGGGTAATTCCCTATCTCACTAAAGCAGCGTTTGTAATTTATTATCCAGACTGTGGCAGCCCTCCATATTCTAATTTGTCATTCATAATGAACCAAACATTTGAACACTCTCATCGGAACGTGAGATCTTTAACTTGGTGTATTGCGCGGTCGCTGCATTGTATAGCTGTGTGCAGCGCTATTTGCAGCGTGCTCATGCTATCACTATTACACTTATTTCTACAAACCGCCTCGTTCATGTTACCAAGTTGTCCTCTCTCATCTGGGGCCTGTGTGTGTGACTGTAAACCCCAGGAGAGTCAGACACTGGTGCACACACACAGATTTCTTTTGTCACACTTCTCAGATTTTTGGTCACGTGTGTGCATGTGCTTTGTTGCATTTATGAACTGCAACGCGGCCCAGGTCAAACAATCTTGCGGGTCGTATATACGGCCCAAAGGCCGGACGTGCCCCACCCCTGCTGTAAAGTATATATTTCAGTACAAGTACATTTGTCCTCCATGAACTCTCATCTGCCTGTTGCTTCATACTGCGTCAAATACAGCTGTTATCTCATTGGTTGTGCTTCGAAAGGTCAGAGGCCACCGATAGCCAATAGTGCTCAGGGGCGATTTCCGGCAGTGCCACTGCTCTCCTCGTGGTAACACAATGGCAGTCAGTGCAACTCAAGTGTGTTTGGTTAGAGCCTTCGTGCTCCTCACATCTTTCAAACTCTGCAGCCCCAGTTAGAACACAGGCCTTTTGTTTAAAGCCTCCAAGACTGCTGCGATAACCCTGATGACACCGTGAAGGGTCATTTCCACACACGTCATTATACATCTGTTTTCACAAGCTGAGTAATCAGAGTCAGATAAATGGGTTTCAATTGTTATTTGTTTGTCATTTCTCAGGTTGACATGTTTAAAATCTGCCCCACTGCTGCAAAGACTGATGCTGGACTCACCAAGGAGTTCCAGGCAATGAGGTATGCAAAGCTATGTGCACTGTTGAGTATTAGTAATAATGAAGTAATATTAGGGATGGGCCATAATGTTGATATCATTTTGATTATATCCACATTTGTCCTCATAGTGCTAATATATGCAGAATAACATATAACCAGATTGGTGTTGTTAGTTACACTGTGGCAGAACATCAAGCAAACAGACACGTCCAGTAATCATTACTGTATATCACTTATAATTACATCTTTAAGAGAGTTTGTTTGAATCACCATGACTAAACATCTGGAAAATCCCATGATCATATCATCACAATACTGTGAAGCCTCTTTCACACTGGACATAAAACAACCACTAACATCTGGGTTTTGTCTTCAGTGGGAAACAGGCCATTCATCTCCAAGTCAAGGGACTGCAGTAGTCATGGGTGTTTATCAGCCGCAGCTCTGGTTGGCAGTGATGTAAACATAACACCAGAGTAGCCGTGCACATTTTCTGTGTCGCAGAGACAGTGAGGACACCTCCATCTGTAACTCCTGCGACTATTTGCGATCTGCTCCACAAAAACAATCTCCCTCTGTTCCAGCAGCTGCCAAACTGTTTATCTCCCAAACTCAGGGCTCAAATGAATGGGCAGAATGTACAGTATATAGCGACTGCAGTAATTTCCTATCCTGATCAAGCATATTTTGTTCGGTTTTTGTTACTTGTGGATATTTAATTTCGACAAAAATGTATGTTTATTTCGTTGTTAGGTTGGTCAACGCTGAGCTGCGGCAGGAGAACACAGATCTGAAGCAAAGCCTCAGTGAGCACAGTGACCAATATGGTGAGACTTCATCTAAACCAGGTGAGACTTCCAAACACACGTGTTTAGGGCTCTGCACCAGCGATAGCCTGTAGCTGCTGGATTTATGTTTTTATGCTGTCCCATTGTGACCAAAATATATCTCCCCCTAATTTCAAATTTGACACAAACTTTCAGTTGAACTGATTAGATGGTCGAAGGTCAAGGTCACAGTGAAATACTAGAACATTAACATTCTCCTGTACTTGGATGAAGTGATTAGAATTCAGGTCAAAAGTCAGGATCACTGTGACCTCACAAAACACCCTTTTACCTTGTAAAACACCTCAAGGGATAATTTCACATTTGGCACAAATGTTATTTGGACTCATGACTTAACTGATATGATTTTGCTGGTCAAAGCGACTGTGGCCTCACAAAACATGTTTGGTCACTTAAACTTGATGACATCATCATAAAGTGCAGGTTGTTGGCGTGTTCAAGTAATCTGGCCTCAGTTTAATCATTTCTACACATTTTGGCCTCACTGTAAGTTGGCTATTCAAAACATCTGAATGAATGTGACGTGAGCAGTCCTGCAGAACAAAACTTGAGCTGCCTCTTTTCTTGTGTTCGGAGATGTTGGGAAGCTCAGAGGTCGTCTGCAGGCTGCTGAGATGGAGAGAACAAAACTTCAAGCAGAGGTCAACAAGCTGCAGAAAGAACTGGAGAACTTTGACCCGACGTTCTTTGAGGAGATCGAGGACTTGAAATATAACTACAATGTGGAGGTGAAGAAGAACATTCTGCTGGAGGAACAGCTGAGGAAGGTGTGCGACCAGTTTGGTGTAAAAGCGGAAATTCCCAGGGTGTCCATCAGTTGACTCAGAGTTACTGAGCCTTGAAGTGGACTTAACACTGTTAACACTGCACCTGCACAAACCTTTATGGATTAAACATTCAACTTTCAGTTTATCTTTATCTTTACTGCTCATTTTCAGTTTGGATCTCTGCTGAACCTTAAAGGGATAGTTCACCAAAAAAAATGACTCACCACTATGCCGATTGAGGGGTGGGTGAAGTGTTTGAGTCCGCAAAACACTGTAGTGAAGCAGCCAAAGTGACCATTTCTTCTGACGTAATAAAACAACAGAAACCACAGGAGCAGTATGGAGGCATGTTGTGTCTTTGTTTTATTACGTTGGAAGAATTGGTCACCATTGACTTTAACTGTATTGGAATCGGCTGATACCCCTGAGACTCCAGAAGTGTTTTGTGGACTAAAAACACTTCACCCACCCCGTCATCGGCATAGTGGTGAGTAGATAATGAGAGAATTTTCATTTTTCTGTGAACTATCCCTTTAATATAGTCCTCAGTAAAAATGTGTTTGAATAATTGAGTAGAAACCAAAATGCTGATCAGATCTTGTTTACTCTTCATTTAAATTAAACTGCTTTTAGACTACTGAAACAGATCATCATTTTCATAGCAAGTTTGTTATTGGTAATGCGTTAGACTGAAAACGTCAAGACATCGAGCCCCAACCGTCTTTTAAGATCACAGAAAGTTAGTACCAGAGATATTCTACATTGATAAAGTAGCACTGTGCACTCAGCATGTTTTTCAGGTTATGGTTTTGAATGTTAGTCAGACGATGAGTATTAGGGCCTTATGAGGGGAAACAATTCTGAGATTCGAGAATCAAGTCACAATTGAGAAGAAAGCTGTGATAAAGACTTCATTTAACTAAAAAGTCATGTTATGAGAATGAAGAAAAAAATAAACCCAATTCTTGAGAAATAAGCAGCAGCAGCAGCAGAGAACCCATGCTCGTGTGCTGTTCTTCAGACATTTCCCCTCTGACAGGACACGTAGACTCCGATTATGACTTTATTCTCCTACATTTAAGCCTGTTTTCTAGCAATTTTATTTTTTAATTTTTGATTAAGTAGCCCTTATACTCTGTCGTGTAAATTTCACCTTTTCGGATACTTGTTAAGTTTGGCTTTTTAATGTGGAGTAGCTCCCTCACCCTCTTCCATAAGGCAGCTTTCTGTTAATATATAAGTTCTCTAGCTGGTGTAGTAGCGTATTTATAAAATTTTTATATGTACAGTTCTGACATATTGAACTTCAATGAAAATGTCCTTTGTGAATAAAGCAGTTTTGATACTTTGATTCTTTAGCAAAGAAATAGCTGTGACACAGTATTTACTGTATATAGATGGAACATTTATAAGCTTCATGCTAAAAACATCCAGTTGGTCAGTCTTTTTTTTTTTTTTACACTGGAAGCATATTCACATTATCACAGTAAACACTAAAATGCTTAGACATGTGAAAAACGTTCCAAGCTTTTTGAATGTTGATGATTGAAGAAAAGGTGCGTTTCATATTTGCAGCGCTGTGCAGAAATGCTCAAACATAGTGATCCATAAAGAGCAACTGTTCCTCTTTGGCGCTGAAGGTTTGAGCCTCACTGAAAACCGCAGATTAAGACTTTCAGCTAATTGTGATTGAGGCCCCGGTCACACATGTGCAAATGTGAAGAGAATATCGGGGTCAAAGTTCACCCATATTGAACACTACTCGAAGCAATGTAGCTGTTGCCTCGATACAGGAAGCAAATCTTTTATTCACCTCCTCGCTCGCACGGATTGAACAGAAGGTGAAGGTTCGCCTCTGAAATATTTGCAGATGTGTGACCGGGCCCTGACACACACAAAAAACATTTTTCAGCTACTACTTCACTGGTCTCACATGAAAATAACCCGAAATTGTTGAATGTTAAATTACTCATCGCCACCGACAGTAAAAACTATCAGGCAGCGATCAGCAAGGTAGTAAATCCTAACAGGATCATAGCAGCAGCAGCTTTAGGAGAGGGAATATTTCATCGTCTCAGTGTGGGGGTTTATGGGTCAAAGTGGACGTCCTGAAGTCGGCTGAAGCTGCGTCCGTTCAGGGCAGAGAAAGAGGCGAACAAGTCCTTGCTGTTGTTGTACTCCTCCACCGTCCCTTCCACGTGAATCACCACCGACCTGTTCCCAAAGCAGGTCTCCCCGTCGGGCCACCTCAGTCCCAGGTGATGACGATGAACCTACCAACAACCAAAGAACAGCTCAACACCTGCACGCCAACATTTTAGTGCACAGTCTGCCTTCAAATGACAACATATGCACACTTCATTTATCATTTCTTATTTCATCTATTTATCTAGTTCTTATTTTTCACACTCATCTTTCAGCGAAGGCATAATCTTCCTCATCCTTGAAAGCTAATAGAACCAGTTAAGTACATTTAATGTGTCCATTCATGTTTGGTGAGTCTAAATAATAAACTGCATTCAGAATTCCACATATGCATCATCACTAAAGTAAGTCCCCTCCAAACTATTCACAGCAACTATGAAATTCCTGAGCCTCATTCCACCTTAACGAGCGTGCCGTCGCTGCAGTGCCAGACGATGCCCTCGACTCGGCTCTCTGGACACTCCTGGAACCAGGAGCACAGCTGCTGGAAGTCGACCGGTGGAGGCGTTCTGATTTTAATACTCCCGTGGGACACCAGGAAGTGGACGGGCTGCTTCTTACTCCCCAGTCCTGTCCAGATAGAAAAACTCAACTTCAGTTTACCACACACAAATACACTCACACCTAACTTTAACATTCGACTTTATTTCATTGAGTAAACATTCATATATATTTATTTTTAACCACTTTTAATGTTTTCCCTTAAATTGATTTTGGAAAACTTTAGATCTGATTGAAACACTGTTCCACCTTATCACAGGTAAAAGTCAGACTCTAGTTTTATCAAATACACTAAGTCCACTTTGTGAACATATTTCACTGTAAATATTTTGATACATTTATTACACATGTTCATCAGTTCACAAGTGTTAACGCTGAATGTGTCACATACATAATTTGTGGTTGCAGAGACCAAACAGTAAACGATCTGTATTTATTCAGTTGTTTTTGCCATTCACCCGTTCACAGCACTAGTGATATTTTCACTAGTGTGTTTCATCTAAATTGATTGAATTGTTGTTTTCTTTACTCTTTAATGGACACTTTATATTTAGATAATTTATTTTTACATCAGGAGGGGTCATCTCTATGGAGGCCACCATGTTTTTTACAGTAGCCCAAACTGGACTAACTAAACACCTTTTGAGTTTTTATGACAACTGAAGGTTTCCACAGCTACCTCTCTCATGTTTGGAAGGGGAGGTGAGGGGTGTTCACCTGCAACATGCAACTTTACCACTAGATGTCACTAAATTCTCCACACTGAACCTTTAAGCCAGATTGACTATATAGAGTAGATGGGTGCGAGAGATAAAAATAGAAAGTGAGAGCAAAGCCAGGAGGTGCTGAATGATTTACAAATTAACAAGATTTTGAGGGAAAAAAAGAAATTGGATGTAAGTGTTGATATTATTATGTTGATACAATTCAACGTGATTGTGAAACTGTAGCAGTCACATGAGTAAGCGGTCCTTCACATGTGACCCGGGACGCACATTTGTTTACAGCACCTACATCACAGACCACCTCCAACTGAGGACTGAATGATCAGATCTCAGATGTTTAGAGCTGTCCACATGTGATCAGATCACTCAGAGCGGATTATAACACCAAATCTGAAAAGGCTCTGTGTTATTATTCAAGTGTCAGTATTTTAACACCTTTAGCAGAATTCACAGTCCCATTTAAATGTGCATTTTTAAGTGCCTGGTAAAAACACAAAGCTATTGCGAGAACTGTTGCAGATATTGATTGGCATTTGCGGTAGCCAACAGCACTGGACGTCCGTCACAGCCGAGCGGCAGAGTTGACTGTAACTCATAGGTCAACGGGCAAAGTCATGGCAACAGCCTGCTCTCCATTGTCAGGGACTTCTGCCACGACCCACGCCAGTGAATATAACAGATGAAATCACATAGTACAGTCCCTCTGCGCTGGTTGGTAACTGGCAGAGTTCATCGTCACAGGGAGGGAGATGAAAAAAGCATCATGAAAGAACGTCCCTGAGTGCAGGATGAGTCATCATCACACAGGAAGAGAAAATTAGACATAGATGTAAAATAATGAATGTTTCTTTGACACAACTGTGACTTATGTGTCACAATTATAAAACAGTTGCAGGATTAAAAGTCATGAAAAATGTGTTTTTCATTTCATGAGGATGTGAATAAATAAATGTGTCATAGTATGTGACTGGAAGTATTAAAGCAAGCTAAAATATTTGACATTAAAAAGAACAGCCTGTTTTGAAAAAACAACAAGTCTGAACAATGACATAGATTCCTGTTAAAGGATATATCACATTACCGTAAGGGTTCCCATTCACGTTGGTTCCAATGAGTTCCAGGGTTTGTTCCATGAGGTCAGCCAGCGGAACCGCTGCAATTTCTAACATGTCTTCATCGTCAGCCTTGAGCCCGAGAACAAGAGCCACCCCGACTTCATAATCCAGCACAGACGAGTGCCAACAGTACTGCTTGTTGTCCTTCACCACTGGAACCCAGCCTGAACGTTCACAAGAACCAATGTTGATGATCATTTCCATGTGAGAAATTGTATCAGGCTGGTATGAATGCAGATGCTCAGTAAAATTGTTTCTTAGAAATAAAGTACAGGGCAATAATACAGGGCACGTGCACAGACATTTTTGGGGGCAGGTGCTCAAGCCAAAAAAAAGGGCACCCATCGCCGAACTGATTCATAAAATTTGTTGGATATATTTAACTTATATATTTAATTTTGTTAGCACAATCAACAGTCTAATCAAATAGGGTAACTCAAATATCAAATTGAATAAATAAATGAATAACAGGCAAAAACTAAAAATATTCTAACTTAAAACTAATCAAAACTCTGAATAAATGAAATAAAAATAAAGCATCCAATATATTCTATAAAATACAAATATTTAAAAAGGAGGTGAAGGGAGCAGGATCGTTCAGCTACTTCACAGGAGCATCCTCCTTGGTGCCATCTCTCTGAAGATTTGTATGATCTCACTCTGGTTTATTTGCTCAATGGCAAGCAGGAGAAGGTCAGAGAGTCTTTCTTCCCCACAGACACTCCTAATTTGTAAAACAGTAAAACTGTCTTTAAATTCTGTCTGTCTGTATCTCTCTCCTGCTCTCTCTTCATTAAAGATGACAAACGTCAGCTAAACAGCTGGACAAGGCTTTCAAATCACAGATTTCATTATCACAAGACATGTAGGCTATGCGGTATGCATGGATTCTCTTTGTATGAAAAGGCAAGTGTTTTCAGCCAGATCAGGGCGAGGCAGAATTCTCAAGAACTCAAATAAATGCCCTTCAGATATCAAAACACTTTTGGGGGGAATTGATGACAGAGAGGGTCATTTTTATTTTTTAAGTTGGGCTACAGCAGAAAGGGCACTTTTGTCATCCAGGGCAAAAGGGCAAGTTTGAGCACCACTAGGGGTCTATCTGGGTCTGCTCCTAAGTATTAAAAGGTCCAGTGTGTAAGATTTAGGTGAAAGGGAACTATTGTCAGACATTTTATGTAGAATAATCCTCATGATGTTTTCACTAGTTTGTTTCATCTAAATTATATGAATTGTAGTTTTCTTTACCCCAGAAAAGGCCCTTTATATTTAAATATTTTATATTTACATTGAGGGGACCCTCTCTACGGAGGCCAACATGTTTTTACATGAGTCCAGACTGAACAAACTAAACACCTTTTGAGTTTTTATGACAATTAAAGCTGCCACCTCATGTTTAGAAGAAGAGGGTGAGGTGAGGGGTGTTCAGCTGCAACAAAAAATTGCAACACTCGATATCACAAAATTCTACACACTGTACCTTTAAGTACTGGGATCTCATTTATAACCGTTGCGTTCTCACGAAACGGAACCTGAAACGTGCGTACGCCAATTCTCACGCAAACGTTGGGATTTATAAAAAGAAACTTGACGGGAAAATGTGCGCATTTCCACGCAAACTTTGAGCCATGCATATGAACATTTTGGAGACGGGAAAGTGGCAATGCCGCCGTGAGGAGGTGAACTGAAGCAGATTATTGATCCACTTCATCATTTACATTAAAACTAACAGTGTTATTTGTGCTCGCGTGACATAACTGTTCCATAAAAGCTTTTAATAATATCTTCTAACACTGTGCGTGTATCATTAAGGATGAGTGTGTGTGTGTAAAATCACTGCAGTGAGTGACTGTGCCATCAGGCGCACAGAGCGCACTGAAGATCACTCACAAAAATAAAGAACAACTCTTTACACAGTGATGTGTGAAGTGATCGGTCCGATGGCTCTAAATATATAAATACTGCAGTGACACTCGTGTGTAATGCTGCGTGATGGAAGGATGAGGAAGAAACAAGGGTTCGAGCACACAGGTTTTATAAATCTGAATTTTCTTTTGCGTACGCCATTTCCGGCTTTTATGTGCATGTGCACTTTTAGTATGAATCTGGTCTCTCAGTCAGCAGGAATGACCAGTAGAGGTAACAGCTTAACATTTTGGACAGTGCCTGATGTAAATCTCCTTGTTTGAAATTGGCTGATTAATTGGCCTGTTCTTTCAGACACTGTTAAATTGACTGGCAGTAGTTGAGCCGCTGCTGCACACTGAGCTCAGATCAGTGGGTAGAGCCCTGAACTGCAGAATCAGCTGAAGTTGTGAACGTGCTGTTGGCATGATCATGACATTGAGTAGTCCCAGCCGCCGCTTGTCGCCTATTTAGTCAAAGTTCATTAATATTTAACACGTGCCCAGATCCCACCACAATAAATATTGCATTTCCTTGTGCCCTTAACAACACACGTGTCAAGTGTGAAGCTGATATGACATATGACACATACAAACAGACAAGACATCCACTTTCTGTGCCCTGTACATTTTATTGTAAAGCTCTGCTACCTTGCACTACTACTATGTTTCGATCGATCCTAATAGGTAACAAACAGAACACGTAAATGTTTAAATAACCTGGAATGTGTCCGAGGTCATCAGGCAATGGAAGGCCGTTGTGATGTTTGACCCGGTGAGCTGGGATCCACGTCTCTGGCACCGTCTTAAAATCTTCCTCTACGTTCCATGTGAAACCTGAAAAGAGACACAACCGGTCTAACCCCCCCTGCAGAAATGGGGAAATGTAATGTGCTTAAGAAAACATGTCGCCCAGAAACCTTTGGAGCTCCTGTGAGAGCGCTGGTGCTTCTTGAATCTCTTCTCTGCTTGTTTGTTGGGTTTCCTGTCCAGTCGAGCCCAGAGGTGAGGCTGGCCTACAGAAACAAAAAAACATTTAGTTCATCCCATCAGACTCCAAAAGAGGTTTTGAAGAACAATGACATCACTATGGACGCTAGGACAGGTATAACTCTTACTGTGAATATCAACGAGTATTCAATCTCATTGAAAACACTAACACTTACCTTTGTAAAGTGTAACGTAACAGCAGGTACCATCCAGTTTTTCTGTGGCAAGTGCACAATCAACATCAGCCTCCAGAGCGACAGGGTTCACATGTTCGGTAGCAACAACCTGAAACTGCTGCAGACAGAGAGACAGACATTATGCACTCACCGGCCACTTTATTACACCTGTTCAATTGCTTGTTAACACAAATAGCTAAATCAGTCGATCACATGGCAGCAACTCAATGCATTTAGGCATCTAGACATGATGAAGACGACTTGCTGAAGTTCAAACCGAGCATCAGAATGGGGAAGAAAGGGGATTTAAGTGACTTTGAACGTGGCATGGTTGTTGGTGCCAGAGGGGCTTGTCTGAGTATTTCAAAAACTTATCTAATGGGATTTTCACGCACAACCATCTCTAGGGTTTACGGAGAACGGTCCGAATAAGAGAAAATATCCAGTGAGCGGCAGTTGGGTGGACGAAAATGCCTTGTGGATGTCAGAGGAGAATGGGCAGAGTGGTTCCAGATGATAGAAAGGCAGCAGTAACTCAATTAACCACTTGTTACAATCAAGGTATGCAGAATACCATCTCTGAACGCACATCATGTCGAACCTTGAAGCAGATGGGGTACAGCAGCAGAAGACCACACCAGGTGCCACGCCTGTCAGCTAACAGGAAACTGAGGCTACAACTTGCACAGCTCACCCAAGTGGACAATAGAAGATTGGAGAAAGTACCAACTGAGCATCGTTTTAACTCCACGAGCCTACCTGAGTACTGTTGCTGACCATGTCCATCTCTTTATGACCACAGTGTACCCATCCTCTGATGGCTACTTCCAGCAGGATAATGCACCATGTCACAAAGTGCACATCATCTCAAACTGGTCTCAATCTGATAGATGACCTTTGGGATGTGGTGGAACGGGAGATTTGCATCATGGATGTGCAGCCGACAAATCTGCAGCAACTGCGTGATGCTATCATGTCAACATGGACCAAAATCTCTAAGGAATGTTTCCAACACCTTGTTGAATCTATGCTACAAAGAATTAAGGCAGTTCTGAAGGCAAAAGGGGGTCCATCCCGGTACTAGCAAGGTGTACCTAATAAAGTGGACATAATACGTTGGACAGAAAACTGCGAAACAAAGTTTCAGCTTCTAAGAAACACCTGTTCTCACTTACAAAACCAAAAGAGCAGTTCATCAGAAATATATTAAGTCTGCAACCGACCTGCAACATCTGGAATAAAGACAACAAATCACCAGAAGCCACGATCCCCAGTTAAACTGGAACACCGGCGGCTACAGGGGTGGAGTGAAACAACACAGATGTCAAGTCGGACAAGTTTTACTTCTCGCAGCTTTTGCTGTTGAAACGGATGTTTTGGAATTCCTCGTGTTTTTGAACGAGTGTGCAAACCATATAATAATAATAATAATAATAATAATAACATAAACCCTAGTGTAAAGTGACCATGTGTAAATACACAGGAGATGAAATTCATCACAACCTCTTTGGAGAGAAATAAACAAAGAGAATGTTTTTCTTCTGCATTAATCATCACATTAGAATCACTAGATCACTTAACAGAAACAAACAGATACACTGCCAGTGGTTACATAGCTTCCCACAAACATACATACATTTGCATGGAGTCGGACACAAAGTCTAAGCAGAATGTGAAGAGAGAACCTCAGGCTGGGTTGTGCATGTGTGAAAGGCATATGTCTGAAGACGGCTTTACAGTGTCGTATTAATAAAGGCAAAAATGCCCCTAATAAACCACTACACTTTGACTTGTGAAATCTGGATGCAATTATCCCTGAAAGACTTTAAAAGATGATTTAAACAGTTTCAGGTTTATGAGTATTTTATTTTGTTTTTGAAAATGCAAACAAGAGACATTACTGCTTTTTCGCATCTACACCACATTGAACCAGGCCTAGATCAAAAAACACTTGACGTAGACTTGTCAAATCTGGAGCAGATTACCCACGAGAGGCTTCAGCATCTTTAAAACTATTTCAGATTATTGCATATTTGTGTAAATGCAAAACATTTAACAGCTTTTTCATACTGAGACCCCATCAGACCAGGTCCAGATCAAAAACCACTACACTGAAGCATGTCATATCTAGACCAGCTTATCCCTGAAAGGCAAAATACTCTTTAAAACAGTTTCAGATTTGTAAAATCTAAATTCTATTCATGAAAATGCAACAAAGGGACATTTCACTACTTTACTGTTTTAACAGGCCACATCAGTCCAAGTTCAGATCAAAACCCATTATACTTATTATATTATTATCTCTATGTGGACCAATATAAAAAGTAAAATGTATAAGTCACATTTTTCTCAAAGATGATTTCTGTCATTTTATGTAGTTGTTATCACACTGATGATTGTTCAAGTGTCAAGTGTTCTCTGGCAACTTTGGTTTTAATAGTTATTTGATGGCATGACAACGGGGTGAAACATCACATTTGACCAAGCGCATGTATCAGCGTTACCTCAACACCTCGGCTCGATCCTGTGATTACTAACTGCACAGCCTGGCTTCAGGTTAAGATGGCAGGGTTTGTGTCTGGGAGATTTACCTCCATGATCGTCTCTCTTTATTTGCAATTCTTTTAAGCAGTATAACTAGTCCCTCTTAGCTATGAGCTTCTTGTCCCTCTCCAGTTTGGAAAGACCATGTTCTCAGTTATAGTTCTCTCTCCTCCATATTTGTTTGTGCTGTCCTCATGCATGTTCCCCACCTGCGTCTGTGCCATGTGGAGGAACGCAAAGCTTTGTCTTCGGTGATTTGTGACGAAATAAAGGATGTAGCAAAATATAAGTTCATACTGCTTTGTCATCACACCACACAGCTCTAATGCCAAACAGAGTATTCCTCAATCAGTCTTTAACACAGCAGAACAGTGGAGACGTCTGACTTTAAAAATGCAGCCTGCTCCTGCAGTAAAACTACCCACAGAGCCACAGGAGCCACAGAGCCACAGAGACACAGAGCCACAGAGACACAGGAGCCACAGAGACACAGGAGCCACAGAGACACAGGAGCCACAGCTCTAAACAGGTCGTTTGGGCATATGCCTTATTCTGTTCTCTGGTCTTATGGAGAATTTTACTTCTTGAGATAATAAAAACATTTTCACTCTCATTCATTTCTGGATTCACACAGTTTTAGACATAAGAACATCCTCCCTTGCTGATCTCCTCATTAGTTCTGTCTGAGCCCATTTTGGCTGATTTCTGCCCCCTGTGTGCACACGTGTCCCGTATGACGTCACTCAGACGCCTGTCTGTCATACAGGAAGATAAACACATCGAAAAAAAAAAAAGCACGAGCTTCCACCAACTTTACATGGAGCTGGTCACGTGTGTGTTGTCTTCATAACTCCACGTGTCTCCCATGAACGATGGTCATCAGTGTGTGAAGCCTGTTCTTGAAGTATGCAGAGTTGATTCTGTGTTCGGACTATCACCAGGTAACATGGGCGTTTCCTCAAACCACATCTGGTGTGATACAGCTGCTGCCTGTGTACTATATAATCAATATAATACAATATAAATTCATATTGTGTTTAATGTGATGTTGACACGGACAGACATATATTAAGTCTGCAACCGACCAGCAACATCTGGAATAAGACAACAAATCACCAGATGCCGTGATCTCCAGTTGAACTGGAACACTGGATCAGGTCGGTGGATCAGCACAGACAGACCAGGTTCATCTCGACACACCTCACCGCGGCTCAGCCGCAGTCTCTGAAGGACGCATCGGCCCCCTGACTTCCTGTTATCACGGCGGAGTGAGGGAAGCTGTGGCGTGTGTGCAGGAGAGACCAGCTGAACTCACCTGATCCTCACGTTTTCTGGACTGTTCTTCCTTCACCTCCGTCACAAACACACACGGTATCTTCTGCTGCACGGAGCCCAGGCGCCGCATCTTTCTGAGAGAGAGAGAGAGTGTGTGTGTGTGCGTGTGTGTGTGCGTGTGTGTGTGTGTCTTATAGTGATTCGATGACAAAACATCAGATTCTAACGACGCTCCAGCATCATGGACCATATCTGGTCACGTGGTGCGTTTCTTCTTCTTTATTCAATGTCGGCTTGCCGAAAGTGAAACGGACTCGTGAACGCCACCGCGCGGTGGGATCATTTTCACCACTCAGTCTGAATCGAAGATTTTATATATTAACACAAAATACTCACATATATATAAGATATGAATCAAATATTTGATTGTTCGATTATCTGTTA